TTCTAATTAAAATCCACATGAACTCACACAGTTTAATTTCTGGGGATTGATTGTAAGACAAACAAACATTTCAATTCAATAAAACCTGCTGCAGCTCACAAGATAAAACTGAGCCTTCACTTCATTACTGTTTGTGGGATACTGTAGCATAATAAATAATAATAATTTGGTCACTCAATCCATGACTGTTTGTGGGACGCTGCTGTGCGCAATTGGCTGCCGCATTTGGCCCACAAATATACAGTCAATTCACTTCACAGTGTATTCTGTGAAGCGCTTTGAGACGTCTCGAAGACATAAGGCGCTGTATCAAATGCAAGGATTATTATTATTACTATTATTACTGCTGTGCGCAAATTGGTCACTGCGTTTGCCTACCAATACACAGTCACTACACTTTGCAGTATATCTTGTGAAATGCTTTGGGATTATCTGACAATGTGATAAGACACTATTCCAAAGGATTATTTTATACTGTACAAAAATGTTAGTTTCAAATTGGTGGATAAAGTGCTACCCCGGTGAGATAACTATTAACAACATCTTCTTGTCTCAGAAGAGGGACTGATCAGTTTGTAATAGAGAAATGCCACGAGGAGGTACAAGAGCATTGAGAGTAGACACATCAAATGACAAAGTCAAACTGCTCCCATCTGTCCACAGGCCACTGGATAATAAAAATCCTTGCATTTAATTTAGTGCCTTATCACGTCTTCGAGACGTCTCAAAGTGCTTCACAGGATACGCTGTAAAGTGAATTGACTGTATATTTTGTGGGTGAAATTTAACCTCAGAAAATAGGGAAACATAAGGGTTAAAGGGCCACCTTATGGCATATACCAACACAACTCTTGCAATTCCTGAACTGGGAGGTGTACTTCCCTGATGCTCCCCAATAATTCTCCTTCATTCGAAATCCTAATTCATTGTTCATTCGTCACACTGCTATTTGAGGGCTGTTGGTGTGCAGATTAACTGCGGTCTTTAATTTTACACAGTTGAACCTTGTTGGGCAGTACAATAACACATGTAAAACATGGATGCAAACTCTGCCATTTATGTAAGCAGGGAATTGTATCCCCTTCTCTCTCTCTTCAGTGTTAATACTAGCACTTGAACTTAAATCGAAGCTTCTGTGGACTTCATTCCAAGCACAACTGACCTTATTGAATTGCGTCAAGAGTCAAGTCAGCATCAGGTGCAGAAAGGCAGAGCCTTTCTCTTTCTCAAGACCACTTTGGAACCATCCCAGTTAAAGATACAAGCACTTACTAGAGAGAGGAAACACTTAGCTTTGAGAGGACTATTCTCCCAAGTGACTATAAGGGTTAAACTGTTGAGTGTTGTCGAATAGCTGATTTTGGCTCCACCTCTTCAGCTTCCTGTTTATATGGATGAGAATAGAATCACGCTGGTATCACATGGATATTCATGCAGAGAATCTGTAGAAATTAGATGACCAAGTTAGCCCTGGAGTACTCTAACAGGAGGTTATGTCATTATGTCACAGTTCAATAATAATCCTTGTATTTGGAATAGCGCCTTTCACATCAGGAGGACGTCTCAAAGTGCCACAAAGGATATAAGTGCATGTTTTGATTGTGACTGTGTGTTCTGTGGGCGAACGCAGTAGCCAATTTGCGCACAGCAATGTCCCACAAACAGCCATGGAGAGAATCACCCATTTTATTTTGGGGGATTGTTGGCGAGGACACCAGGAGAAACACCCTTCTCTTTTCAAATAGCGCCATTTAACATCCACTGATCAGGCAGATGGGACCTCGGTTTAATGTCTCATCAGAAGGACGGCACTTCCAACAATGGAGCACACCCCCAGCACCGCATTAGTATCAGTCTCCACTATATGGGTTCAAAATCCTGATGTGGAGCCCACAACCTATTGACTCGGTGGCAAGAATTCTACAAATGAGCTATTGCTGATGCAAAGTGTGGCGACTGTGTATTTTGTAGGTAAAGTTGGCTGCCAAATTGTCCCATAAGCAGCCATGAAGTAAACGTTTATCTAGGGGGACTGTTGACCAGGACACTGGAAGAAAATTCTTTCGATTTTGAACAACGCCACAGGATCTTTTACATTCACCCGAGAGGACAGGTGGGACCTCGGTTTAACGTTTCGCCCGAAGGCTGGGACCTCTGACAATGCTACTCTTCCAATCATTGGAATATCAACCCAGATTGTGGATTCAGAATCCTAGACTTGGGGCCTGTGACCTTCTTAGCGAAAGTGCTATCAACTGAGCCAGTCTAAAACTTGCCAACTAAAGGAAACAGCATGTACTGAACCATTTAGCAAACGGCAAGTTCAATCTCACAGCTCTTTGCTGTGTCGAGCAACCAAGTCACGAGTTCAGTGATTATCTGGAAACTTGCCTTAATCCATCCTGTTCCATCCCACAATGCAGATTTTCTTCCTGAACCCAATTTTCTCCTCTTACGTCCCTTAAGGCGACGGTTCACTGTGGGGTAGGATGACCTTCAGAGTTTTGCACAAGTTTTGCAGCAAGTGCCAGCAACAACTTTCACTGTCTGTGTCTGTGTGTGTGGGTATGGGGTGGGGTGGGGGTAAGGACAGAATACAGCTTTTAATTACACCAGGCAGAGACATAGTTATTTGTTCTTCTTGCTATCAAATGCTGCTTTGTATAAAGTGTCAGAGGACTGATCTGGATCATCATGCTGAATGACTACTGCTGTGTATTACGACAATAATAAGACAGTTACGCCTTTTGAAATTACTTTTCCAAACCGCAACTCGGGAAGGTGACGTTGATGGTAACAATTACTGCCTTATCTTGGCGAATGATCTGAGTCGGCATGAACCCGTTGTCTTCCAACATTCCTTGAGATCTCTCAAGTTCATCCATTCAATGCTCAGGGCAAATGTTCAGAGAAGTAACAGGCTATTCCTTTTTGGGTTGGAGAACCCTTGCCAAGGCACCGAGTCGAGCAGAAAGTGTAGTTTCATAATCTGATCCAACAACAACAAATTTACAGCAACAATAACAATCCTCGCATTTGATATAGTGCCTTATGATGTTGAGACGTCTCAAAGTATTTCACAGAATATATTGTCCACGACTCTCGATCCACGGCTGTTTGTAGGACGCTGCTGTGCGCAATTGTCTGCCGCGATTCACCCACAAAATATAGTCAATTTACTTTACAGTATATTCTGTGAAGCGCTTTGAGACATCTTGAAAACCCGATAAAACGCTTTGCAAGGATTATTATTATTATTATGATGTGAATTGAGAGTTCAACGGTTTTGATACCCTGGGTTGTGTGTATGGGGGGAAAATCAACCAGGGTTTCTGCCAGTTTGCTGCACATTGGACACCCATTTAATAGTGTGAGAGACACATGTTGAAATAACATCAACGCTATGCGAATGACTCCACACAAATGTTAATCCACTTTAATAGCAACAACTTGCACTCATAGACCCCTCCACCCAGGGTAGCGTCTCAGAGCACATAAATGTACTTCCCGTACATTTGAAGCAGCTCAGAAACTACTGCCAGTCAGTCAGCCTCTCCCATGTGTAAAGTGCACAGAATTTACTGAACAAAATATGCAGAAATTCAATCAAAGGATATAAAACATAATCTTATTTCAATTCTAAAAAGAAAATCCCAATGGCAACGTTCCAAGGATTTCGTGAACTGCTGCCAATGTTCTTCAGTAACATTTTATTTTTCTGAATCGAAAGGTGCTCATAGATGATTTACTGGATAATTCAATATTTCCCTGAAATTGGATTGAGCTGAAGATTTTATTTCACATCCTTCACAACACTGCTTACTCTACTCTCCTACTGGGTAGTCAGCATCAACTGCAGCAGCACAAGTCATTTACCCATTCAATGTAGATTCACTTTGGAAAGGAATTCTAGATTTTTTAAAATCCAGTAATTCATACAATCCACAATTGGTTGAACGCTTCTCGATACACGACTGTTTGTGGGGACGCTGCTGTGCGCAATTAGCTGCCGCCTTTTGCCAATAAAATAGTCAATTCACTTTACAGTATATTCTGTGAAGCGCTTTGAGACGTCTCCAAGACGTGATAAGGCGCTGTATGAAATGCAAAGATTTTTAAAATTATTATTTATTCTTTATATAAACGTGAAGGTTGGTCCTCGCTAGACAAGCAGCTTGAAGGTTATGAAGGCTGGAGTGTTTTGCTTTGTTGGTTAAACTCCAGTAGTATCCCACTACACACTTCTACCCACTTTTCAACAGACACTTAAATTAATCTGGTTTGGGTAAAGTATGGTGTAAGATAATATAAGACAAATGGATCCCATACGCATGTGGAACTCTCAGTGGTTTTGGTTTGGAGACTCGCAAGCAGGGTGATGGGTTTCCCATGTGTCAAGATACCAAGTCAATTTAATGATCCTCACACTAGACTTCAAATCCTTTCATGTCCTCGGACTTCCCTACCTCTACGACCTTCTTACTCCACAACCCACTTCCGGTTGACTCTGCTCGACTGGCTCCGGCCTCCTGCATGTCTCTTGTGGGCAATGTTAAACAGCGTGGACTTCTACAAGTTTGTTTTTTGGCATTTGCATTTTTAATAATATTCCTGCACCACTGAAGGAATTATGCGCTGAGAACCAGAGTAAAACTCAGCTCCATTTCTTTCACATGTCCTGCTAAATTTCTTAAGGAAAATGCTAGTGGGATTATTTCATGCAGATATAATTTATTGGTTTATTTCATATTGTTCTATGAAGGATATAACTTTGTTTTTTTTAAAAAAAAGTCGTCTGTGCTCACATTCTGCACAGTATTGATTAGAAATATGACAAATAGTAAAGGAATAAGTACTCATTTCTTCTAATTATTCAAGCATGGATTAAATTGGTTACATTTTAATTTACTACAGTAACCCCAGAAAATATTATGGCATCGTGCAGTAATAATCAATAAACCAAAGTCTAAAAATATTTGTTTTCTCAAATACTAAAAGGATAGGTGGTTACACATTCTAAATTTATTGAACTGAACAATTTCAAAAATAGTACATAAAAATTTTACATGATCATTAAATACCGTTCATATGTACGTTTCTTTCCTGTTAAAAAGTGCATTCAGATGCTTTTTCCCTCCAAGTACACTCTGTCCAAAACTGTACAGATTGATGGTTTGATAATGTTACAAATCAAAAATAAGAACAAAATAATATCTTATCCATTGAAATTAGAGAGTTACCGTGTCTGCCACTTCAAACATACAAATTGCTGTAAGAACTTTCTTTTTTTTAGGCTTCATACATACGGATGAATTTTTTTTTTTAGCACAGCCAATGCTATGGTTATTCTTCTAGAAAAAACGTCAAACTTTTGTAACCAAACATTTACCCAGAAAAAGTCTATTAGATTCAAGTTGTTGTATGTTGGTGTGTGCGGGCCAATTTCAACCGTTTGCCAGATCACTTTTCTCAATTGAGCTTCACTCGATGTACTGAGCCAACCAGCGGAAACCTTCGCCGTATCCCTGTCTCTTTAGGACGCTGCACATGAAAACCTCTAGCGGTCGGGCATTCAGCTCCTTCAGGGAAACGTTTCCCTGTTTGGGGTGTGAGAGAAAGAGAAGTGTGTTTAGAGAGATTCTAATATTATTTGCTCACGAAACATACAGTCAATCGATTCACCTTACAGTATATTCTGTGAAGAGCTTTGAGACATCTCAAAGACCTGACGTGAGAGATAAGGCGCTATATTTGTCCCCGTGGCACAAGAAGTTGCGAGTTGGCCTCATTTTTTCTTAAGTTGATACAAACCTTGGCCCCGAACAGAACGCTGTTAGCAAATAAGATACGAGAATTGCATTTGATCCCAACGCCCGAGGGGAAAGCCCTTTAAAAGAGCCAGCACAGACAAGATGGGCCAAATAGTTGTCTTCTGTGCTGTAAATCTGTATGGTTGTACGGAATGCTTTTTTAAAAAAAACTACATCTTAAGTACAGCACATACATAATACCAAAGAGTGCTAGGTTGGAGACAGATTGCACGTGGCCAGAGAGTTCAAGAGAGAAGAGGATAAAAATCTACCACACAAACAATGACCTTAACACTGGGATTTTCCCCCAAGAAAATCAGATTTCTGTTCTAACGAGACCAATGCAAGTTACTCACTTTTCCCGTTGTCTGTCCATACAGTCCAAACAGCTCTCTGAACCTCTCCTCACTGATTGCTTCGGGCCGGTCAATCTTGTTACCGAGGATGAGAACAGGCACATTACCGACAGTTTCATCTGTCATTAGTGCCTATCGAAAGCAAGAACAGCACAATGTTACTGATCAGATAAACCTAAATAAGATACATCACAATCAAAAACCAAGGCCTTGATTTTCTACTTTGAAACAAGGTGAAACGTTATAATTGGTGTGCACTACTATCTTTTAAATGGACTGACTAAATCCTGACAAGACATCTATTGTGAGCTATGTAGGATACGATAAATGTTTAAAAACACAGAAGTTGACAACATCAATTAGAAAAAATTAAACATACTAAATTTACATCAAAACAATTGTAACAGTTTTCAATAGATTAAATTAAAAATTACATTTAAACTGTGTAAAAAAGTTACCAAGGCTGCTCTGTATTCGCGGGGAGGTGGGGGGAGACCGTTGATAACAAATTCATGTTATCATGTTCTCAGTGTTGAAAGAACATCCTAATCAGAGAGCAGAGGCCACCTGTGATACGAGATATCCAAATAGTACTTGCTAGTAAAGGCTCCGGGACGCTACCCCATGTGAAGGACGCTATATAAAGGCAAGTTGTTGTTGTTGCTACTTACATCGAGCTCTGCTTTGGATTCTGCCAGACGTTCACAATCAGCACAGTCGACCAGGAAGACAATACCGTTGATGGCAGGGAGGTAGTTTTTCCATACTCTGCGGGCTTTAAGGAGAGAGAAGAGAAATTGAAACCACTATTACTTGCTAGGATTTGTTTCAATAAAAAAATCCTCCAATATACAATACAAAACTACATTTGTAAAGCGCCGTTCACGTCGGGAGGAGGTTCCAATACGACTTTAATAAAGCCATTAATAAGAGAAGTTTATTAATAAGGAAGCCCCGGCCTCTTGTTTGTGCCTCGTACCCTCCACTCCACCTCTGGTGGCCGTGCCTTCAGCCACTACGCCCCAAAACTCTGGAACTCTCTCCCTCAATCCCTCCACCTTGCCCCCTCCCTCTCCCCGCTGGCTCGGGGTCAGACTCCGCCACTGTCAAGTGCTACCCCGCGTGAAGAGCGATATAAATGCAAGTTGTTGAGAACTTTACCCTGTGCGTGGCCACCAAGATCAAAAGTGGTGAACGTCATCCCAGCAATCGTCAGTTCTTCTGAAGCTGTAGTGGAAGCAGAATATTGGTTATTTATCTGGAGATTTTTCACCCTCTTCATACTCAATCACATTTAACCATCATTGGACAACCTCGTACCTATAGCAATTGTGTTTGCCTTACATTAAAACCAGAAGAAACTCAATGATTAGTCGAGAATTTTTTTTTAAAAAACAAAATGAAATAATGATTAACAGGACTGACTGAATCCTGTGAACTGGCAAGAACAAAATCAATATTTACTGTTAGAGGTTGAATAAAATTATCCAATTGTATTCACCCAAAAGTGATAACACTGAACAGATATTTTGTATTCCATTCAGTCCTAAGCAGAGAGCGTCTGTGTGTGTGTGTGTCCGTTTCTGTCTCCCTAACTGGAAGAATGATTGTAATGAAGTGAAGATTCTGTACCATTCTTTGAACATTGATGCCCTGTTCCATTTTATTATCTCCAAAAGATCCAGCTGCACCTGGAAAGTTTTAGTGCATTACTCCCCATGTATAGCCAGAACACTTCAATGCAGTGCTGTATTGTTGGGACATACCGTCCTTCAGATGAGAGTTAAAGCCCCGTCTGCCTGTTCAGATAGAAGTTAATGATCCTGTGACACTATTCTAAAAGGGAGTTTTTCCCAGTGTCCTAGCCAACAATCCCCCCCAAACAAAATTGGTCATTCATTTCATTGCTATTTGTGGGACGGTGTTGAGTGCCAATGGGCCTCCATGTGTGTACATATGCTTACAAATAGTCATGACACTTTACAGTTAATACTATGAAGCACTTTGTGGTGTCCTCCCAATGTGAAGGCTGCTTACGCCAAATGCAAGGATGATTATAAACAACATTTGAAGCTTTCTGTATGTGATGGTGAAATTATAGTGATAGTAGAACTCCCATCCCTTACAGAAACTGATGCAGGAATATATTATCTGCAATGGAGAAGAAAGGCCAAAGGTAAAACAATCTGAGAATCAGGACTATGAGTAAACTGGACCCAACCAAGCAAGTACTCTGTGACAAAAGATCATCGACCTGAAACATTAACTCACTTTCCTCTCTCCATGGATGCTGCCTGACCTGCTGAGTGTTCCCAGTGACTTCTGGTTTTATTTCAGATTTCCAGCATCTGCGGTATTTTGCGTTTTGCATGGATGTCAGGTTTGGCTGTGGTACAGTCAGCGAGATAGCCTGTTGACAACCCAGGCTCTATAGTTCATCAGATCAATTCACCAAATGGTACAATACTGAATCATAAGACTAGAGACATGATACATGTTTTTTTTTTACGCCCTGTACATTTCTATCTGGAAGGACTGAGGTTCGGTTTCTGATGAATGCTGAATTAACCGATCTCAGCTACGGTGGGAGAGAAGCAGTGTTCCAAATAGCCTCCCTGTGTCCAGGGGGCGGAGGGGTCAGGGTTGTGGCAATGATTTTTCAGTGATTGTTTGATAGAGGTCCATCTCTGATGTTCTCCACTGTCACCTTACCGTCTGCGCTCATTCCTGACTTGTGACAACCCAGTAAGAGAGCCACCATTATCCACTAAAACAGATCCTAGCACACAAGTCAACATCCTGTTACAAATTCATTGTGTTGGGACTGTTTTTGTGAGTAAAAGGATTTCACCAAAACAAACACGTACTTATTTAAATTGAGGAGCTATTCCTGACCTTAATGAGGGTACCCAGGAAACTCCTGATCACTCGACTTGTCACTATCACTTAAACCATTAGGCTCTCAATATCCCGACCGCATTTATTTATGTATTTATACACAAGCCTAACTCGCCACTCCGGAAAACTCGTCACTGAGGTTCCACTTCAGTGACATGGAGCACCACCGGACAGCTCAGCTCATCGCACTCAGTGAATTCCACTCCCGGCTATGGAGTCACGAGCAGAACTCAGCCACAGCAATTCAGGGGGAACTCCTGCCCTCAATGTGCCTCCAGTCAGCTGTATTGAACCACAGCAGGGGGAAAAAAATGAAAACTGCGGAGTACTGAGCAACCACGATAAATGTGCAGATACTTCCTTCCCTGAGGTAGTTAACCCAGTTCTCCAATATTTTTCCCTGCAGGGACGCACAAAGTGGTCCCAGACAGTGTACAGATCTCATGCTTTATCCACATTTAGAATTACTCAGTAATACAGAAGAACACTCCCCTCTGACTTTCTGCCTTCCCATCTTCAGCCAACTAACCATTGACAGTGTCACTGAAGAGGAACATATTATTACTCAGTGGGAGTTCTGTACGAAATGTCTCTTTCAGGCTGCCCATAACCATGAGTTCCAAAGTACAGACACACTAAAAGTACATGGGAGAGACAGCTATCACAGTGGAGACTTTTTCTCTTTATAACCACTGGGGCAATTCAAGGGAATAACACGCAAGTGCCTGCTCCCCTTCATTTTAGTGTAACCGTCTCCAGAATCGTGCAAAATCAAGCTACAGGACAAGCTGCTCAGCCTTTAGGTCTCAGGCACTCTTTAAGGCCGTTAGTAAGAATGTAAGCAAAAGCACTCCAGGGTGTGTGTCCCTTATTGATATTCTTGCTTCTGTGGGTGGAAAACACAAAGCCTCTACTCGCGTGTCTCGCCACACCTCTATGGCAGGGCTGGGATCAACAATTTGACATGTGTATCGAAGAGTAAAATAGTAAAACCAGAGGACACGGCCTGCAATTGAAGTGGGAGGATATTCAGAACGAATCTACGCCAACACTATTTCAGGGAGCGAAGAGTGAACCTGTGGAACAGGCTCCCTAGGGACACGGTTGAAGCAGGAAATGTTGATTCCTTCAAACACAGATTAGATAGTTTTCTTTTAGGAAATAACATGATGGGATACAGTAACATAGGTAGTTTGGGACATACGTGCAAGCGACCGCCAGGAAGGTGAAAGGCGAACTAGATGGACCTGGGTCTTTTTTCGTCAGGTATTTCTTATGTTCTTATGTATCAGAGGCCTAAAACTCCCAGCTATACTATCAAATTGCAGGCCACTATGCTACCAAATTGATTTAGCCGACTGAGAAAATAACTTAATAGGGAAAAAAAACCTCAATGCTGCAGAGGACATTCAATTCAAAATCAAATTGCCCAAGCTGTGATACTGGAAATCAGATATCTACAGAAACCTTGGGTTTTTAAATATTTTAATGGCTTTTTAAATATCACTCACAACATCCCATATAATCTTCCTTAAATTATGCTGCAACCAAGATATAGTTTTCTTGTGCACTAGGCGTGTCACTATCCTTTCGGAGCACAATCCCAGTCCTGACTGATGCTTTGAAAGTTTCTCCTTGGGCAGAACCAAGCTAGTCCTTAATGCAGCATAATTCAGCAATCTCTGTGTTTACTGGCGCCTGATAGAAAAATGGAAATATTCAAAATTGGTGCAGGAAAGGGCGTTTTTGTACATCAAGAATGATGAGACACATTTTGTAGAGGGGGTTTTACTTTGCATCTAATACTAATTGCCCCAAATAGATTATTGTCCCACTCCCACTGCTAATGTCTTTACCTTAAGCATAAAAAATTAAAGAAACAATAGAGTTCTTGCAAAGAAAATCCTGACGAGGAGCCAAATCTTTGATAAACACAACTTACTAGGATGTAATGTTGGCACATGTTGCCCTAGTCTGTCATCTTTGAGCATGTGCAATAGGGTGGTCTTTCCAGCATTATCCAGTCCAAGAAATACTAATTTTCCTGATTTCTTGTACAGTCCTGGAATAAAGTACACAACAGTATTAATCATTTATTTTTAGGATTTGGGGCAAAAGCTAAATATTTTCAATGAACAAATAAATAGCAAAGAAATTGTCTCCCACGCATCTATTGCCGCATTTACTACAGCGCAATAATTTTAGCCGAAAAGATCAAGGTTCAAGATTAGCAGCTAATTTAACTGATTTGTTGATAATTCTGTATCACTTAGCACTCCATGTGATGCTGCAACAAAAGCAATTTGGCAAACAGGATGATATAGAATGAAAACCAAAGGCGTGAAAACAGCTTTTGCAGATCCGTGTAATTTTATTTTATGTTTATTTCCCTTCTCTCTTTTCTCCTCTACCTTAATTCACTTCCTTAAAACACGAACGCTGAGAAAATAATCTGAAAGCTGCTAGGACGATTTCACTCTCTCCCTCCGTGCAGAGAAGCATCAGATTTCTGCTCTTTGCCTCCGACAGAATCAGATGTGAATTCATGCCTCACCTCTGCAGTAGTGGAGCGCAGAGTACAAAGTGCAGAAAAAACAGTGATTCCAGATTACACGTTCAGTCAATGTTGGCATTGGATTTAAAATACTGATATTCCCCACTGTGTGCTGTCTGCTTTGCAGCTTTATTGCCTTTTGAACTACAGTTACAACTGAGTCATTGGAATCCCCCAAATCCCAATTTGCGTTATAGGAGCAATAGCCCAGTTTCACTGCCTACCCATACAGCAGCCTCGCTCCTCTGGTTCATTAGATCACCACGGACATTATTTTTGTTTGCTTTGCGTGTACACAGCAGGAAGTGAGGTCGGTGGTGGCCTTAATGCCCCGAAAGTCGACTTTTCTAGCAAAGGAAGTTAAAATGACCGACTTCGGAGTCAAGTCACCACACAAGGCGTCTCCTCCGTGCACGTGTAACAAACAGGAAACGATGTTGGTGATGACCTACAGCCCACTATTTTAGCTATTTTAGTGCAAAAGCTGACCACCAGCAGGTAATCACGTGTTTCAGGAAAGAGCTTCCCAATCCCCTATGGATCAAATTCCTCTCGTTCTCACATTCAAATCCCTCTACAGCCTTGCTTCCCCCCACCTCTACAACCTCCTGCAGCCCCGCCAACCTGCCGCTCCCTCCATTCAGTGAAGACTAACCGTCTTCATGTTTCCTGTCCCACCAGCAGTGTTCTTAACCTCCCTCGCCTCATTCAACCGTGTCTTCAGTCACCCTACTAGCCTCATCTTCCTCGCACTCCAGCCCTCCTGATCCCAACCACCAGCTCAGGTACAGATCCCTGACTGTCCAATGCCTTGGGACGTCCTCCTGACATGAAAAGCGCTATACAAATGTAAGTTGTTGTTGTTCCCTCGTTGTCTGGAACTTCATCCTAGAGCCCCTCTGCCTCGCTCTCACCTTCCCCATTTTTAAAGCATACTTTCTCAATTATTTGTCCATACTTCACCCACACCCTCCTTTCCCCACTCACTTAGCACAGGTGGTTAGCCAGTTACATGATGCACTTTGTCAGCTGTGTAAAGGCTTTACATTGTCCTCCTGACATGAAAGGCACTAAATATAAATTGTATTCTAGTGATTTGCACTGTAGAGTTTTGGTTGTTGTTAATAATTATTCAGATACGTTTGTTCATTTGGCCCACAAAATACACAGTCAATTCACTTTACAGTATATTCTGTGAGGCGCTTTGAGGCGTCTTGAAGACGTGACAAGACACTGTATCAAATGCAAGGATGATTATTATTTTTAAACAATGGCACATTTAATATTAATCAAATTGACATGCAATTAATTTGAAAGACATGTGAAAATCAGATTGTGCTACTCATTCTTGGGCATTTTTAAAATAAATAATTGTTTTGACAATAGAGATTTTAGAGAATGGGGAAAAACAAGAGTGGATTCACACAATGCTGAAAATCATTGATTATATAAAATGTGCAAAATTCCGATTTCATTTATCTGAACTTAACGATAATGTACAGTAACACTTACCTAAAAACTGAAGTACGCTACTGACACCACTTGTTAAACCGCTGTAAATCCATACTAAAAAGGAGGACATATCCGGGTCTTAGGGAGTCTGAAAAGCAAAAGGAGATGAGGATACACTTAAAGAATGAAATATGCATAGTTCATTGTGGTTAATTATTCTTCAGCTCTGTTTATTGCCAGTCTACATGAATGATGTCGATTTAGTCTGATTTAAAGCAGGATAACACAAAGGCTTCTTGAACATTTGGAAAGCGAGGAGAGGGCATGAAGCAACTGAGATAAGCCAGTGCTGAACACAAATAAGAACAATTTATCCTTGAGTTTAATTTCCCCACAGTCAATCCTTGAAAGACAAAAATATATATTCAGTCACTTTGCACCCATTCAATGAAACTCTCTCTCTAACTTCTTCGACTGCACCTTTGGTGATCAGCCTTCTACCTCCTTGCTCATCTCCCATCTTGTTCACTCTGTTAGGTGTTTTGAGACATTTTCCTATATGAAGGACACTATACAAGTGCATGCAGTAGTTGCTGTAGAGTATAGCTTTGTTCAGGCTAAGAACTAAACAAAAAATTAATTCAGCCCACCAATTTTCTCCACTGTACAATCTTCACTGTACAGACTTAATTTATCTCCTGAAACAGCTTCAATGTCCACCAGAAAACATTATCAGATGTATAGATTTTACAGTTACTAAAGCTATTGAACTTTATTAAAGCAGAGATCAAATATATCGATCCAAAGAAATGAAATCAGAGTTTGTAATTAACTACCATGAATTAACTGATCTTATATCGTACTCAAACCCAGCTAGTTTACATGTATCATAACTATTAATTTGCAGCCCCCAAAATCCAAACTTTTGCTAACAACTTTTGTTGAGTATATCTTTTATTTTCTAATGTTCCTGATCCATTGCACCATCGGGGCTGACCCCGAAATCCCAACCTTTTAAATCACCCCAAGTGATGAATCTAACCGTACTCTACTGTTCCACATACAATTGATTATTCTACCAGAAATAGAACCAAGATGGTTATGCTACAGTTGGTTACCTGTAAAGTCTGAAACAAATTAGGAAACAAAAAAACTAAAATACATTTCTTTGAAACAAACCCATCTTCCAATATGTACCACAAGTTCTTATTAACTGTACACAATACAGCTACAATTATTCCCCCCTCCCCAAAGTTAAATAAATGGCCTGACAACCAGACCATTAACCCAGGGGGAAGGGGTGTAAGCGTCAGGAAGGGATATTGATATTTAAACCCCAGCCTTTAAGGAATAAAAATCTAATCCCTGCATTTCTAATTGGAGTTCAATTGCAATTAAACCAATCTACTGAGATGTTACAGTGCAATTTTATAGCAAATTATGATTATGCATTGAAGAATGTGAAATTATTGCAGTTCTGCAATTTTTTTTAGAAAGATTGTATGATGCTTGTAAGCAAAGGGCCTTCAAACAATTGATTTAATTGATTTGCCCTTTTATTTTCTGGCAATTTATTGAAAACGGTGACATATTATGTATGTCTCAGGAATATTCTTGACATATTTAATTGCTTCTCTCTCTTGAAAGCATTAGCTTGTGCTTGCCAGGAACACTCCGAATTCTTCTGATCAGAGCCTAGATAGTCAGTGCCTAGACGGAAGGTGGAAATATCACAGCCTAACGTAAGCCATTCACACATGCAAATATTTATGGTTAGCGGGCTGGAGTCAACACCTATATGTCACACATGTTCCTAGGAAACAAGAGGGTGACAAAGCCATTTTACTGCTGTGTAGCTGACAGGACGTAGGACGATAATCTAACACACCTTTCTGATTTGTGTGGCTCAGTACTACAGGTTTCATTTATTTAACCAGAAATAAATAATTATGCATGACGTGTCACCAAAACAACCTCACATTGGCTTCCACTGACATTTGTCACAGGCCACTGGAGTCTCAGAAGAATGCACGTTATTCAAATCAATGGTATTTTCCAATGCAAGAAGACACAGAAATGAATTTGAAATGAAAAGCTATGTACTGTATATGTGGGAGTCACTTCTGCAAACTCCCATCGTTGTCCTCGAAACAAACACACACAAAATGACTCACCTGTACAGGATTGATGATATAATTATATCTTTTAGTACCTTGGCCAGCAGATGACAAAGCATTGAAGGAAAGTATACACATATCTTAGTGAACTCTCATGTCATAAATGAGTCTCCACCAAATAGGTGACAGTATTAAGTTTTTTTTTTAAGCGAGAAGCATTGAAAAAATACTCAAATCCTTTCACTTTCTCCTGCACTATTGGGAAACACTATGACTGGGTGCTGGGTTAGTTTTTTTTGTTGCACAACATGAGCTTCACGGCTGAACATGGGGAAGCAAAGGTCAAGAAGATGCATATGCAGCGGATCTCACATGCCAACCGAGTTATTTATGACACTTACTGGTACCAAACAAAATCCCTGGAACGTCATCAAATTAAGAAACTGATACACTTCAGGAATCCAGTGACTGTGGTTGACTCATTACGTTACAACTCATTTTTAGAAAAATAAAGGATCTGCTCTTTTCTACACTTAACTGTTACAAGGCTGTCCTCTACCTTGCAGAGCAGTGAGTTGAATCATTTTGTGAAAGTTCTCTACCCCGAATGCTATCCAGTGACCCCCCTCCTTCCCTTATCTTCTCTAAAAAGTGAGCGTGACAGGTTAGCGCGCTGTCATGTTCCCCTGCCTACCCCTAGGCAGAATAGATTCTACAGCCACCATCACAATCTCTAGAAACATAATGACCTGGGTAATGGCTGATGCCTATGAGATACCCATACGTGGATGATACAGCCTTTGGAAATTTGGGGGGCGGTTGGGGCGGGGCTGCGAAGTAAACTGAATAGAATCTGCTACAGATTCCCACTTCTTTGGGCAGTAAGGATTCTGATTCCTCTGATTGTTTCTAAGAAATAGGTTCACTCGTACAGCGTTTGCAAAAAAAGAGTGTGATAACTGGGTCATACAATCAACTGAACTAAAAACAGCTGTACGGTTACCTCCGAGCTGAACCAAAAGCGAGCTGGCTGAAAAAGCAAGTCACGTGACTGAAAATTATTTTCCACTGTTGTTCCGTAATAAACTACAGGATTTTCTGAAACAGAGGCTGATGTTGACATCAGCATTCCAATACTATCACTGTCTCCTTCAACTTGAACAGGCTGAAAACATGACCTCCTTACAAAATGATGCCATGTAGCATCACAAAACTAAACACTGACCAAACATAGCAAGCTACACTTGGCTAGGCACTGCCACATCAGTCGTAAGTATGTGAGTAAGGGCCACAACAAGCTGCCTTGGGGTTTCATTTCTTGAACTGGATTTCTAAGGTAGCGCTGAATATACAGCTCAGCTATCTTCCTACTTAAGGGCTTTGGGACGTCTCGAAGATGTGTTAAGGGGCTATAACAAATGCAAGGATTATTATTATTATTACTACTTGGTTCTGACCTTGTCACGATCCCATTCAATGATATCACATTGTTCCATATTGGTCGTCCCCGTGGGTGCTGAATAGAATCTGCGACAGCATTCTCCCACTACCTTCCCAGTGTTCCTCCACCATATGGCCACAGTTAGCACCAACCTTTGGGTGTTCTCCTGCCTTCTCCAGAGCTGACACCATCCACACCTATATTCAGTCATCAACCTCAACATACACCATTCTCAATGTTACATATTTTCTGTGGCCACCTCCATACCAGAGTGGTGGCCATTGCTTCTTCTCTAGTTTCCATGTCCTCTTCACGCCAAATTTTGCACATTCAATTTCTTCACACTCACACCAAACACCCTTGGGTTGTCACCATTGGCTTGAATCTTCACCGCTCGCGTTTGTTCTATTCTAGTTTGAAGATCACAAACCAACCCCAGGGCTCAAGATACAGTCAAGTCAACCCATGATCAGAACGAAATGCCATTTACAGGTGGACCTATTGCATTTACAGCACAATTCATAGGATTAACCATGAGCTTGCTGAAAAAATGGTTGAAAGAAAGTCCAATGAGTAAGTTTTAATATTTTCTCTTAACACCAACACAAACAACCCGACTTGCAGCAAATTCAAGCCGGTTGATCCGCAATGTGTCCGCCACCCAAGCCTGACCCACCTTGATGTTGAAAAGCAACAGCAGGTCAAGCACTAAAAACAGTTGTGCGTGGTAACTTTTTCTCTCCGCCCCCCCCCGGAAACATAATCTAAATTAAATCTCAATCAATCCTGGCAAAAAAACGAGGTGGAAAGTGGTTTTGATGCCTATAAATTATGTTTTAACGGATGAGATTTCAGGAAAAAAAGAAGTGATTGTGTGGGAACAATTTACAATCTGGGAAATGGCAATGAAGCGAACGCCATGTCCACCTCCTGCCCCCCCAACCGAGGGCAGTCCATGTCAAGAGGGTGGAAAACGGGGGCTCTCCCGTGTCCTCTCCCACGCCAGGCTCCGCGACCCTATCACCCCAACCCTCGCCCGGCTCCGCCGGCTCCCCATCACGCAGAGGATACAGCTCAACGTCCTGGTCCTCACCTTCAAAGCCCTCCATGGCCTCGCTCCCCCCCCCGCTACCTCTGCGACCTCCAAACCCCCGACCACCCTGCTCGCTCCCTCGGCTCAGCGGGCTGCTGCGCGGCCCCCGCCTCGCCCGCCCCTGGAGGTCGGGAGGGCCTTGAGCCACTCTGGAACTTCATCCCGCGGTCCCTCCTCGCCCACCCCTCCCTCCCTCGCCCACCCCTCCCACCCTCATTCCCTCGCCCACCCCTCACTCACTCCCTCGCCCATCCCTCCCTCCCTCACTCACCCCTCCCACCCTCGCCTCCTTCAAGACCCGTCTCAAGACCCTCCTCTTCGATCGTGCCTTCGGTCACCCCCCCCCCACCCCTCCCCCCGCACTCCCCCCCTCCTGATCCCAACCACCAGCTCCGGGGGTGCGGAGATCCCTGACCGTCCAGGGCCTCGGGACGTCCTCCCGACGTGAAAGGCGCCCGTGTGACCGTGTATCGTCTCGTCATCTAACCATTGGCGCCAGAGAGCTGGTGTCGACCCCGGGGGGGGGGAGGGGGGGGAGGGGGTCGTCACGGTAACGGGAGGGGGGAAACGGGGCACTGGCTTTTCTCTCTCTCACTCCCCCCCCCCCCCCGAAACCCCCACCGGGAGCGACTTGTAACTCACCCGGGAAGCGTGAGGAGGAGGAGGCCGGGGGGGGGGGGTCTCGGCGCTGGCGGTTTCTCCGGGGGAGAGGGGGGGGGGGTCCGTGGGGGGGGGACGCTCGGCGGCTGCTTCACTCACAAACGCCCGCGCGCCGTCAGAGCCACGACACAACAATGGCGGCGGCTGGGGCTGCGCTTCCGCTCGGTGCAGCCCGCAAACACTTCCCCGCCCCGAGGTGACGCTCGGATAAAAGGTCCTACCCCCTCACCACCAACCTCCACCATCATCACCAACACCCACACACAGAGGCTCAGAGATCTGGGCAACAAAATACATTGGTTGGGAATGGGATGGAATGGGATGCTCTCCATTTCAACAACAGCAACACAGATCATCCATTTCGGGATGGCTTTTCTTCCGCAGGGAGCACTAGTCCCCCCTCAAATAAACGATAATGATGATAATAATAATAATCCTCGCATTCGATATAGCGCTTTTCACGTCAGGAGGACGTCCCAAAGCACTTCACAGAACACACTGTAAAATGAATTGACTGTATATTTGTGGGCGAACGCGGCAGCCGATTGCGCACAGCAATGTCCCACAAACAGTCGTGGATTGAAAATGATTTATTATTGGTTTTGGTTGGAAACTTGTCCAAGGTTTCGCTCTCTGCCTGGAATTGAACTCAGGTCTCTCACTTACAAAGCGAGTGCTCTAACCACTGAGCTACAGGACTCCACAAGACGTGAATCATCATCATAATACGTCGGTCGCTCCAATCCACGACTGTGCGCGGGGACGCTTCCGGGCGCCATCGGCTGCCGCTTTTCGCCCACGAAATGGACGGTCGATTCACTTTACAGCGTATATCCTGTGAAGCGCTTTGAGACGTTTCCAAGACGGGATAAGGCGCTGTATCAAATGCAAGGATTATTATTGTTGCAAATATTTTAATCAAAATTGTTTTTTTTATTAGCGGTGAGTCGAATTTTGTTTTTCTATTCGAAATAACCTTAATATTGGAACCCCATTTCTAACGCATTGAAATGTTTCTAATCTAGATCTTCTTTATCTCATGAAACTTGAACACTGTTTCTAGTAATGTGACCTTGATGACACTGTGCTTTTTAAAGGATTATCTTTGCGGCGTTTTGCGCAAAAGCAATTAACTTTAAAGATAGCACAAAGTCAAAAAAACGACACAAATGTCGTGTTGGCAAATGTCGGGGCAACGATCGTTAAAAAGTAACGTTCGTAGCGTATTCAGGGAAATCATAATAATCTTAGCATTTGAAGAATGCCTTTCACGTCATTGAAACATCTCGATGCCCACTTTTTGGACAAGACTGTCTTCGCCAAAAAGCTCCGAGGATTCTTCACTCATACAATAACAAAGTAATCTGTGGTTTGCTGTATGGGTGCAAGAATCGACTCGGTGCTCTGAGAGCCGTGGCAACAGTGAATGGCACATTTTGTGTTTCTGCCCGAACAATAGCAAGTGTAGGTGTTGATCATGTTGAGGGGGGAAGGCAACCGAACCTCGACGTGGAGGCGTTTCATTGGGGGGGGGGGGGGGGCATTTACGAGGAAATTAGATAAACATGAACAGAAGACGTTCGTGGGGAAACCTCGCGGGTTTGGGAGTAAGGGAGATAATAATAATAATAATAATAATAATAATAATCCTTGCCTTCGATATCGCGCCTGATCACGTCGCTCCGTGGTGACGTCTCAAAGCGCTTCGCGGGATACGCCGCAAAGTGTAGTGACTGTGTGTTGTGTGGGGGCGAAGAGAGATGGTATCATTGGAGGAGCAAACACCAACATCACACACACACACACATGAGGGGGGGGGGGCAGTTGTGGGGGAGGGGGTGGGGGAGGGGTCTGATGAATCTCTATGGTTTCCCAGTGGAGGAGGGAGGGGGGGGGAGAGGGGAGGGCGGACGGACACTCGCGGGTGTAACGCCGGAAGTGCCACGTGTACCGAGTGCGCATGTGCGAGAGCAGCCCCACTCACTTCCGGTGGACTCTGGAACTGAGCGGAGCCTCGGGCCCGGCGGGCGCTGGGGATGAGAGAGCGGCCTCCGCGCCCTTGGAGCCTCGCCACAGGCCCCGCGCGCGCGCACTGCCACTGACCGACCGACCCACCGACCGCGAGTGAGGGAGGGAGGGAGGGAGGGAGTGAGTGAGGCGAAGCCGCCATCATGTCGGGAGGAGGTGCCGGTGCCGCCGCCGGATACAACGGCCAGAGCGGCGGAGACGCCCTGAGGCCCTGCATGAACGGTCAGTGTGTGGGGAGCGGGCGGTGGGGGAGGGAGAGTGTGAGGCCGAGGGTTGGCGGGACAGGTGGGTGGGGGTGAGGGGGAGAGTTGCTGACACACCAGGGTTACCGTCCCCCCCCTCCCCCCTACACCCACCCTCCCCCCTACACCCCCCCCCCACACCCCCCCCCCACACCCCCCCTCCCCCCTACACCCCCCCCCCCCACTTTACTGGGATTGATTGTGTGTCTGTCTCCCGTCTCACCGGGTGTGTGGCTGTGAGGAGAGAGAGAGAGACCCGGGTTCACGTTCACGTGGGTTTCTGACGTGTAATCGTTTGGTCTAACAATGTCTCCGCCGCTGTGTGTGTGTGTGTGTGTCAATGCCTGTATGTGTGTGTGTGTCTCTGGGTGTCTGTGTGTGTGTGTGTCTCTCTGGGTGTGTGTGTATGTGTGTCTCTAGATGTGTGTGTGTCTGTGTGTGTGTGTCTGTGTGTGTGTCTCTGGGTGTGTGTCTCTGTGTGTGTGTGTGTGTCTGTGTGTGGGTCTCTGTGTGTGTGTGTGTCTGTATGTGTGTGTGTGTGTGTGTGTCTCTCGCAAGCGGCGCTTTGTCCTTCTGCCGGTGGCAGTGTGCACCTGTCTCTGCCCCTCTCGTTCTCCCCCTCTCTCTGTGTTTGTAAACGTGTCACACTCATAAGCTCATGAAGAATTTGCGAGGCGAAAAGATGAAGCACCAAGGTCCATCCATCTAGTTCGACTTCCACCATCCTGGCAGTCAGTCCTGGCTTGACCTGTGGTGCCTCCCCCACCCCCAACTATATACTGTATTTATCCCCAGATATTATTTTCTAGCAGAAATCTACCAAATATTCAGTCACTAACCTCACCCACCCCTCCTCTGTTCAATGTCCGAGTAATAAATGAGAGCCTGACTTTCTGGTCTCTTCAGCCCGTGGTTGATCTCAGACAGCCATTCGTCCCAAACTAAACTAACTAAAACCTGTTCAGTGAGAGGAATTCATTCCTTTTTTAAAAAGCATTTATGGAGAAAAAATTCCGTCACTCTACTCTTTCGCAAGAGCTGTAAGTCAGGGTGTTAATTTCAAACAACAGCAACAACAAAATTCCATTTGTATAGCACCATCCACGTCGGGAAAACGTCACAAAATAACCGTGTGGGATTGTGGTATTCAACATCATTGGATCTTTTGTGTGCAAGTGGAGGCTTGTTGTTCTCTGACTGATTGCCTGGAGGCTGCTCAAAATATTGATAGATTTGTGACTATACATACCGCATTGTTAACAAATTCGGACTAATTGTGGCATTATTATATACATGCTCTCCCTGAAGATCACAAAATTTGAGGCCCAATCTTGATTGTAAAATGGGAGAATCCTGCTACTCTGTACTTTTGGCATAGTTTTGAAAATCTGATTTGAACTACTTGAGTTGCATCCTCATTTCCAGGTGCATATTATTTAGAAAAAACGATTTTGGGAGAAAATATACTTTTGCAGACTGCGTAGAATTGAAAGATAACTGTCATTATGCTCTGAAAAGTCTCGAGTCTAGGAACCTTCCTCCCACAAAGTCTGATTTTCTAAAGACCATTACACAAAACTCCCAAAACACCATCCTTAGAAACCTGCAGTGTTCAACCCAGGCCTCCTGCTCTTTTCAGTTATTTTCCCCCAGTAGTTTAGAGCCACTGTTCTTCTCTGGGGTAATTGGATATATCTTGACACGTCTTCATCTCCAATCCCATTCCTAAAAATGATTTGTCCGCCAGTGTGTGGTTCTGCCTTGCAATTCGTTCGTTTTCACACAAGCTTCAGCTAAGTATGAGAAATCCATTGATGTCCTCTACAGTACACAATCCTGCGGTCCATCCTCTCTTGGCCTTTGAAGGTGGTGACTGACACTCAATAGAGAATTACTTTAAATAGATTTTGAAATGTAAAAATGAGAGTAATGTATCAATGGCCGCAAATGACAATGGGGCCAAAAAGCAGCTTGAAATGTTTTAAGAATTGCTGTTCGAGTTGTTATCGAATCGGCTTTCGTTTCGCCCTTTCAGGCAATGCATTCCAGATCCGAACAACTCGAAAAAATACTTTTATGTACTTCCTATTGTTTCCTTATCCCTTGCAAATTCCAAGAACTACTGAACACTTCATAGCACCAAGTTGGCTGTGCTCTAGTGTCCAGATTACTACATAAAATACATCACCCAGTAAAGAAATTTCATGTAAAGTGTAGAATGTTGTACAACTGACGTGGCAAAGACAGTGGAAATGCTGGTAGTCACAGGTGCGCAGTGATGTAACACATTTTTTTAGTTTCTCTTTAAAAAGTATCTGTATGTGGGTGTAAAAGTTGCTGTGTTTTTGTAAAGAAGTTTAAAGCTGTTAAAACATTCGGTATAAATTTCAGTGTAGGATCTGCTAAATGCTGGCCGACACCCCAGGGTATAGGAGTGGCCAATAATGCAACGTGGATGAAACATCTTCAGTTGTGAAGCTGAGCTGCTTCGCAACTTCACCATCTGCACGTTGTCTGGTGAACTTCGGTGGTAGAAGTGTTTTCTGCTTCCTGTGATAAAACAATTCCAAAGACTTTTTCGATTGGATCTTATATTCAGAAGCTTTTCATTTTAGATTTGAATTTGACCTAATCCAACTTTTTTGTTTGTTTGTTCTGACTTTTGTGTTGACTTACAGTTGTGCGTTTGTCCAGACTGTTATTTCTAAGAAAATTATAGTACTGCAGACTATATGTTTTGTAGAATAACTTCAAGCAAAGATCATCGACCATTCAGAAAATAATGCTGTAGTTTGAAAAATACATGAAATAAAGTGTAGTTGAAAGTGTAGAATTTTTATATTGAGCGATAATGCCTTGTCTTTCACTCTTGCCTTTTCTATCAGAAATTTGTCGGTTCAAACAACACATTGCTACCTGTTTTCTATTCGGGTGGATGTTAAAGATCCTAATTCCAAATAGAAAAACAGAAGGATGTTTTGAGTAGAGTATTGACTAGTGATCATCTGAATTAATTGGTCATTTACATCAAAGCTTCTTGGGAAATTGACTGCTGTTTTTGTGTACAAATACAGTCACTGCATGTGAGAGCAATACCTGTGAGACATTTTAATTTCAGTGTTTGGGGCACTATTAAACAAACTTTATCTTTTGTGGTTTGGTTTGTGACTTGGCTCCTGACTCTTGAGATGTGCGCACAACTTTTTCAACAGATTTTTAAATGGGGCAGCAGTGAAATGAGAGTACTGCTACCTTGGCCAGTCATTTAATTGCAATGTCAGTATAGTCATTGAGATTATCTCTTCAGAATCCCATTCTAGTTAAACATTGATGCTGCTGCAGCTAATGGTCAATCCCGACATTATCTGCACTAAAAGGTAGCCAAGAAAACAATGGATCCTGTGTAATTGTCTGATCATTTTTTAAAGTTAAAATGATCACTGCACTTAAACAGAGGACAACCATTATCTTAAAAAAAATGCAAAATACTGCAGGTGCTGGAAATCTGAAACAAAAACAAGTCGCTGGGAACACTCAGCAGGTCAGGCAGCATCTGTGGAGAAAGGAAAGTGAGTCAGGTTTTTTTTGACAACTGTAATCTATTCATATCTTATTTTATCCTCACTTTGTTTTAGTAATGTGCATTATCTTATGATCATACCAATCACAAATGCATTAAACCATGATACGTACCTGGTTATTCAATTCAACAAAGCATACCAACACTACGTTTTACAGTATATCCTGTGAAGCGCTTTGAGGCATGCTTCTGATGTGAAAGCTCTGAGATGCTACCCTGCACGGAGAGCGCTATATCAGAGCACGTTGTTGTTGAAAGGCACTACACTAAATGTAAGAATTGTTGTCACGATTCTCTTTTTAAAAAAAAAACCTTGTGGCTGCATACAAAATTCAGATACCTAATTTTTCCGTCTGCTTAAATGCTAAATTTATGTACACTGAGCAAAAGGAAGACTGGTTATATTAGTATGTAATAGGAAAATCCATTTCTTTATGCATTTAAATTGACCAGGCTTTGGGGCACACAGTGCGACTGTTTGCGGGCTGAATGATATAATAATGTAATAGTAATAATCCTTGCATTTGATATAGCGCCTTATCAGGTCTTCTAGACATCTCAAAGGAAATGTATCTTATTAACGCGAGCACAGAAATGCACACCCAGCATACATTAATAAGATATTATGATTTGCTTACAAGATACACAGTCTCTACACCTTGAAGTACTTGGAGATGTCCTCCTGATGTGACAGGCTTGTATCAAGTATAAGGATTAATTGGTCAGTGTATTAGCAGCAGCTTGGCTCTTTTCTGAAGCAATTTAGAGAAAAAGCTTTTTGAGTCTAAATGCTTTCCAAAACTGAGGTTCGCATACCTTTCCTATCCAATGTGAGTGATCTGCACACCATGCGGAGAGGGTATGGTTACCCTTCTTTCTGTCATCTAAAATAATGCAAAGCTTTTACTTTTAGTCTGAGGAAAACATCTAAAGCATTTGAATTGTTCTGGGAGGATTAAGATTCTTATTGCTGAGTGGAAGCTATTTATTTTTTATTGGACTTTTTAAACAATGATTTGTCTTGTAACTTGCTTTCCGGTGGCTGAATTTGCTGATCAATACCAAATGCAAGGATTACCCTAATTATTATCCAGCAGCAATCTCGGGATTTAAGCAATGATATTTCTTATGGGTTCAACCTTGTGGATTGCATTTAATTTGTTCCTTGGTTACTTTTAATTCCCCCCGCCTCAAATTCACTACTTTGAACCCCCCCCCCCCACCCACCAGGCCACTATCTTCAAAGTCTTAACATTGGTGCAGCCATAAACCTGAATGAGTTTCTTAGGTGTGTACCCCAAGGTACATAATCATTATAATAAAAAATGATGAAACGTATTTGAATTTTTTGAGCTTTGGTGATTTTTCTTATGGAATCTAACTTTTGCGCCAATGAGCACTTGTATCCTCAGTAATTGTGTCATGTCATATAAAAGTCATGACCAGAAAGCTTTTAAAATGTGTTCTTCGTAAAACGCTACGGGATTAGCTATGAATTTTGAAAGAAAGCCTGTGAACAAATGATATCCCAACCTTTTTATTCAAATGAATATCTCTAGAGCTTGTAAACCGATATTTTTGTCCTCTCTCGGTTGCAAATTGCGCCTTGAGTGGAGCCAATGAGATCCTGCTTCGAACGCATTTGCAATATCATTTTACTTTCGTGTTGGCTTGATAATCTGCATCTATCTGATCTAAATGCCTCTGTTGTTTTGTAACTGCATTCTATGTCCCTTTTCACAGGCCCTGTGCAGAACCAGTTGATTCAGCATCCTCCATTCTCCAATGAACAGGGGTATAACTTAGTTCCTCCAGCACCATATTCACAGCAAATCCCTTCGAAGGACTTTTCGCAGCCGATGGTTGGACAGGCCAACTACGGATATAGTCAATACGCTCAGCCTGCCGGAGGTTTTTCGAGCCCTGGAGAGAATGCCACAAGACCCCCCATGGGTCCTGCACTAAATGCTGCCCCACAACAGAAGGCAATGCCAGCTGATGGACTGAGCACGTCTGTGGCTACAAATCCAGGATCTTACTCGAGAATGCCTCCGCCTCCTCACGGCTCTTTCCCGCACGTAGCGTCTAACAGTGTTTACTCGCCAGCCGCAGTCCCATCACAGTCAAGTTGGCAGTACAGTGCCCCACAACAGTCCCGTCCTATCAGTCAGCCACCACTGGCTACCCCTTACCAAGCAAATCATGTCCCAGGAACCAGGCCGAGCCAAATACCTACAGAGCCCTCGTCTGTGCTTTACGGCAGTGGAGGTTCAAAAGCACCTGCAGGCACTCTGTATGCAAATCCAACTGGAGGACCTATTCCGCAGAACTATGTGAACCCAGGTAAGCGAGTTCTGCTCATTTTGTACTCTGGGATCATTTGCTGCTTGCAGAAATGTCCAGGGGGTAAAGATCATTTTAATAGAACAGTGTTCAATTGTCAGTATACATTTTATTTGCTGAGGGTTCAATGCTTTGGTATTTCTGGTGTTTTGTTTGGAATTTGGCAGGCTGAGCAAATGTTCAATTCACGCAGGCGGACAGAAAGAACACACCTGTCCTCTCACACTGTGGCCGTTTCCTGTACGGTGCTTCTTTAAGGGTCATACATGTTTCTGAATGATCCTTTCCACTTTTTTTTTACAAAAATGCTAGTGTGTCCAAATTAATTTTCCAGCTTCCCTTCATTGGGATATATATTCCTCTGCTCCTAGAAACAAAGAAACAGGAATAGGCCATTCAGCCCCTCGTACGTCTTAGAGTTTCCACAGTGCTGCGTTTTTCCGGAGTCACACAGTTGCTTACTCATCATGCAAGGTGAATGACTGGCTGGATTAGCACCGACTGCGTTGTGACAGAGGAGGTTGAAAGGTCCCTGTTGTTGGAGGTGAACATTGACCTTACGTTCAATTGACTACTAGCTAACTACCTCATTACAATACTCTTTAACAACAGGGTTTCTGATAAAGGTATTCTGCTAATAAAGCTCTTCTGGAATGCTTCTGGTACTAAAGTCTGTTCACAGTGCCAGATTAATGAGTGAATGAGCCAGGAGGAAGAGAAGGTTGAACTTTGGTTCATTGTGATATTTTGGTTGGAAAATCTGATATCAGTACAGAAATGTACATCTGCTTTCTTTATACTCTACCTACAGCAACGTTCTCGTTCTTTATTCTCTCCTCATTCCATCCCCCTGAGTGTTAGTGTCAAGTGTTTTTGTGTGTTATTTTAAGAATAGTGGTTCGTGGCGACATGGCTCAATCTGAAGTAAAATAAAGGGAAAGTAATTGGGTTAGATCAAGGTGGTCCAACTGGTAGCCCTCCCGCTCCCTCCCTCGCCAGTGAACTGTCCTGTCATGGCAGCAGCAGGAGCCCAGGGGATTAATGGGAGGACGCAGTTGGTAAGGAAACCTGCTCGCCTTTGCCTCGGCTCAGGAGACACTTCCTGACACTACATCAAAGAGCATCATTATTTCAACAACTTGCATTCACATAGCACCCTTCACGTGGGATAGAGTCCCGGAGCACTTCACACTGGCGAAGTCTTGATAAGGAGCCAGGGGGAGAGGGAGCGGGGGAGGTGACCGTGAGCATGATCAATTTCCAGTCTTGCAACATTGCACTTTGGCCTTTTGTTTGGACAAAATGTACAACACACTATGCCATTATGTTGGTTTTATAAGGCATGTCCCCTGTGGTGTTCTATCCGTATGACATTCTGGATATAATTTGTTTCCTTCATATTACATACATAAAGAGTATTAACGACTGAATTCCAAGGCTCCCAATCAAAGCTTGCACGAGCAGCAGAGTAGTCTGAAATGGGAGGTGTGTCATGCAAACCACAGATGTCATGTCTTCCAGGTGTTGAATACTGCTTTTGTATCCTTACCATGAACCTTTGCGCTAATTTTCTACTTGCATTGTTTTTATGCATTGCATCTTTGTTCCTCTCCAAAATTGCTGCAGTCTGCAAATTTGGGAACGTATCTCTGTAGAGGAAGTTCCACGCCACAGATCCTATTCTTCAAATCCTTTGAATAAACAATAATGCTTTATCTTTTTTTTCTCTTTTCCCCACCTCCCCAAACTTTCTACTCCATCCCCTCCTGAAGACATACTACAATAGGTTTTCTTGATCATTTGTTCCTTCTTTCCTGGGCGTGAGCACTGCTGTCCTGATGTACCTATTTCTGCATACACGTGGGACCTTCAAGTTCTGGCTCAGTACCAAATCACATCTATAGTAATAATAATCCTTGCATTTGATATTGCGCCTTGTCACGTCTTCAAGACGTCTCAAAACGCTTCACAGAATATACTGTAAAGTGAATTGACTGTATATTTTGTGGGCGAAATTTAAATGGGTAAATTTACCCATTTACCCACTGAACAGTGATGGGCGTGGGTTGGGGTGGATTATCTCGATGTTGCCAGTTAAAATCTGCAAGTGGAGTAGGGATTACTGCTACGCCAGCAGACTACATTGGAAAATGCAGCTGCCTTTCTGAAATCCAACTGCATAGTACAAATGTGGAGGGTATTATGCTATCGTGTCTGGCACTGCTCTTAATCCAGCATTGGGTGTGACCAGTTTTTGGAATGATTTCACAACTATTTATAAAAGATGAGAGTTTAAAAATATTGTTAAACCTCGACGAATTTTAAAATTCAGTCTGGCTCTCTCCCGCTATATGTGGCTCAGATAAAAATAAACAATTCTTATAGATGAGAGGTGAACATTACTGAATTGGTTAGGAAGCATTTGTAACTTGGTTTGGGTTTTATGCACTGTGCATTCTCAAAGCAGAAAATCAATTCTTGGGTTTATCAAGTAGCTCTTCAGTTCTCTCAAGGAAACCAATGCGGTTTTATACTAGAGGGCTGATCTACTCGGGCTGCTTTTTGTACACGCTTCCTTAGATGCCAACTTGTCTTTCAGCCACTGTGCCCCGAAGCTGTGGAACTCTCACCCTCAATCGCTTTGCCTTGCCCCCCTCCTTCATCTTCAACCGTGCCTATAGTCACTTTTCCCCTCCCCCTGGCTTGGCATCAGGCTCCGCAACTGTGAAGCACTCCGAGACGCCGTCCGGTGTGAAAGGCGCTGTATAAACGCAAGATGTTGTTGAGACAGCTGGTGATAACTGCAATGCACATGTGCAAAATATTGAAAGGTGCTCAGTGACTAAATACACAAAACTACAGTCAAAAATGCACATCTCTACTAGGAAATCAAAGAATTTTGCTCAAAATGAGATTGACCTTTTGGTCTTTTGTACTTTCAATGAATTGTGACAGTTAGTCATGTACAAATGTATGCAAAACGGAAATATAGGTCAATGTGAAAATTTCACATTGTCTGCTCGAGTGCTCAAATATCCAGTGGAACAACCATTTTTCTGAAGCTGGTCTATACAGTATATACAGTATATTGTGCTGCAGAGTAAAGTGGTAGTTTAAGAGATACATTGCTGTTGTGGGTAAATTGAGGTAATAATTTCATTTTATGGGTTTATTGGGACAACAGAGTGAATTGTTTCCAATACTAATGATCTCTGGCAAACTTATTGAGCTTGGAGGAAAGGGAGAATAAAAATGACTGGTGTTTACATACTAGGAATTTTTAAATGTGGTTTTGTAAGATCGTACTGTGCATTTTTGTTTGAAATGAATGGCCCTTTGTGATTAGTTTCCATTAAGTACCTAATTGGAAAAATTCTAAAGAAGGATAAATAGTTATAGTCCTTGCATTTGACATAGGGCCTTATCACGTCTCTGAGACCTCTTAAAGCGCTTCACAGAATATACCGCAAAGTGAATTGACTATGTAATTTTGGGCGAAACTTGGCAGCAAATGCACACAGCAGTGTCTTGTTTTGAAGGGATTATACTTTATAATGCAGTGAACAAAGTGTGTGTGTGTATATATATATATATTTTATATATAAATGAACTTGCGTATGTAAATTCTTGTTAATGATTTCAATATCTCGACAGGATTAGGTCATGCACCAGTCAGCCAGCCAATACCTCGGATGTATCAGCCCGGCAGACCACCCCTGGGGGCCCCTCCACCAAGTGGAGGTGCTTCTATGATTAGACCAACTTGTCCTCCGGCAACAAATAGTCATGATAGACCATTGCCGCAAAACCTAAACTTCTCAGGAGGACTAGAAGGTAAGCCTCCCATGGATGAAAAAAACTTAATTATCAACTCTGATGCACGGATTGCTTATATAAATTGAGACAGAGAAACGTTAGATAATCCATGTCAATTGATGCCCTGTTTAATGATCCAAACCTATATATAGTCCAGTGTTGTGTAGAGTACGTTTTGCTAAATATAGTGAATGCTGTTTGGATTATATAACACAAACTGCTTGACAGGCGGTTTTAGCAGAGTACTTTTTAAGATGCTATAAACGCAATCATTTTAAAAGTTGCTCTACATTAATGCATTCCCCCCCAAAAAAAACTTTTTTCGGAAGCAGGTGTTTTTTTCTCTCGGGAAGAGGCCGTCTATAAATGTACCTTCATCCACAAGTTAGATTTGGAATGATGTGAGTGAGGTAAAGGACACTGACTATACCAACATGAAAGTAACACCTTGGGTGAGATATGAGAGGTTCATCCTGCGGAACTGTCAAGCAACACCAGTTCTGCTTTCAGGAGAAACGAGGGAATGGGAGGGAAAGAAGACGATGGGAATATTTTACTGCAGAATTCTGCTGCTCAGTGGACTCCAGCCTGCTTTACGTCCCCCGTTTTACCCGCCCCACCATTGGCGGGCAGGCCTTCGGCCTCTGCCCCCACACTCTGGAACTCCATCTCACAGTCCCGCCGCCTCACCCCTCCCTTACCTCCTTCGAGGCCCATCTCAAGACCCTCCTCTTCGACCGTGCCTTCGGTCACCCTCCTACCCTTACCCTCCCCACCCTCCACCATTCCTGATCCCAACCACCAGCTCGGGTGCGGATCCCTCGCTATCCAGATCTTTGGGACGTCCTCCTGACGTGGAACTCTCTAAACAAATGTAATTTATTGTTGTTGGTGGTGAAACTACAGTTCTACTTTGTCCTAAAGCTTTGCGCATTTTAAATGGTAAGTTAAGCATATTTAAATGATTGGGATTAAGGCGGTAAACCATGCATTCGGAGCCAGACCCTGCTTTTATAATGAGGAAATCCACGTGTGAAACATTTAATCTGTATTGGAAGAATTGTGAAAGGAAGATGAGTAAAGCAGAAAAGTTTTGTGTTGAGATAATGAGTTGTTAACTGTTCTCACGGTGGAGTTTCCTGCCATGTTTTTTCAGATTAAAAATTCAATATATTGGTTTAAGAATTAATTGTGAGCTAAGCAGTAGAGATAAAAGTGGTAATGGCACTTATTGCTTGTGGAGATGCATTTATTGGTGCAGGTGCTTTTAGAACATCATAAATATACAGTCAATTCACTTTACAGTATGTTATGTGAAGTCCTCTTCCCTCCACAAGCTGCAGATCATCCAAAACTCTGCAGCTCGTGTCCTCTCCCAAACCAGGCTCCGAGACCCCATCACTCCCACCCTCGTCCGGCTCCACTGTTCCCCATCCCTCAGAGGATCGAATTCAAAGTTCTCGTCCTCACCTTCAAGGCCCTCCATGACCTGCTGACCCCTTATCAACCTGTCCGCTGAGTCCTGCTCCGACCATTGGCGGTCGGGCCTTTAGCCTCTCTGCCCCCACCCTCTGGAATTCCATCCCACATTCCCTTCGTCTTGCTCACTCCCTTGCCTCCTTCAAGGCACGCCTCAAGGCCCTCCTCTTCGGCCACCCTCTTACCCCCACCTCCCCCCCACCCACCCCCCCCCCCCGGTCCTAATCCCTGACAGTTCAGCGCCTTGGGACGTTCTCCTGACCTGAAAGGCACTTTACAAGTGTAATTTGGTATTGTATCTTCACATTTCACAAGCAAATGCAACATGATGTGGAAATTATTTAAATTTCATGGAAATGTTACATTTGTAAAAGACAGATAAAGTGCCATTTTATGAGCTTGGATTTTCATCTCAAGCCATTTGTACCTTCCTGGAATATCTAAAATACTGAACATAAATGCCAAAGTGTTTTGCATCCACTGCCCAATAATGAGTTTGTATGCGTTGCTTTGAATTTGAATAATATCCCTTTGCTGTGTATTTTAGGCATCTTAACTAAATGGGTAAAGCAAGTGTATACTGTCCATTTGGTTCATCTTCTATACAAAAGTATATTCAAACTCAGTGTTAGTTTATTTTAAATGACTTCTAGTTTAAAAGGAAGTCAATTTGCACACAGCAATGTACCACAATACAAAACTGTACCACACAAATTACTTCTGTAGTGAAATTGGGCTCTAGTTGAGGGGAGAGAGAGAAAATCAGTGTTTTCAAGAGTATTGTTGAATTTAACATGTTCCTTCCTGGAAGTCTGAAAATTCTGTAATATAATAAGAATTCTTGCATTTGATATAGCGCCTTAATACATCTCCGAGACGTCCCAAAGCGTTTAACAGAATATACTGTAAAGTGAATTGACTTTATATTTTGTAATCCAGATGTTAATTTTCAGGAGTATAACTATAAATACCCGATGCAACTTTCCATTTCAGGAGACAACTCCAGAACCGGTAGTGATCAACCTATAGTTTCAAACAATTATGATGTTTTGGAAGGCGGAGGCTGCATGGGTAAGTGTTTTTTTAAATTGCTCTTCTTAATACTGATGTTACTCATTGCTTTCCGGAGATGTTGGTGTTCACAGCAATGTTCATTGGTGGTCCAAGTCTTCTGGGAAGTTCTCTCATACTTGCATGATGTACAATCTTCCAAGACTTGTTTTATTTATATATCAAATAGAGCACCACTTTTCTTGATGTGCATTTTAAGTGTATCTTGCTTTCACCAGTGCAACCTCATCAACCAGCTGTAAAGCATGGCAAGACACTCGGCCATTCGTATCCCTCCTTGCCCCCCGGCTACCAAAACCTACCTGGCCCTGGAATCGCAGGTGGTCAACCTCCTACTCAGGTCAACAGTGCAAGACCACAGCAGTTTCCTCAGGTAAGTGCTGGAACTGAGAATCTCGCTGAATATCAAATACTCACTGCTAGAACCAACTGTCAAATGGTGCAAAGCTCTGTTTTTAGTGGACTAATAGACATGGATTTAAAGCAACAATTCTGCCATATGTTTGGAGTTCCTGATATTGGCCAGTGTGTACATTATTAGCTTCCCCCTTGGAGGGAGTCAATATCCTGTGAAGGGCTTTGAGACGCCTCAATGGCATAACAAGGCGCTATATCAAATGCAAGGATTATTATTAATATTGCTGTGTTCTTGAGTACAGTATTATAACAAGATAATGCTGTGGTATTGAAGCTTTTCTGCCAAAGTTATCTTGCCTGGTTTCCAATCAGCTGTTTGGAAAAACTCTTTGATAAGATCCTGGAATGAGTAATGATTTGTTCTCACTGATCAAACTCTCCTCTTCAGGCTCCTCTTGGGATGAATACACTGACAACCTCCATGGGTGGCCTTGGTCTACAACAGAACCAGCAGCCAGAAGGGCTGAGACCTGTGAACCTTCTGCAGGAGAGAAACATTCTGCCTTCAACTCCCGTCAAAGCCCCAATTCCAAACCTGCACAAAGATCTACAGAGATTGAATTCCAAATCAGAGTGAGCTCCATCAGCTGTCGCTTATTCTAACATTGCTATCCTCGGGTGTGGTGGTGGGGGGGAATTGGAGAGAGAGAGAGAGAGGGCACTGCTGATAACAGATTAGCCATCTTGGCATGTCGACAGGACTGGAATGGGTTCTTTCCACTCAACTTTAACGCTGCAGATCAAAGCCCTAATCCTGGTCCTAGCTAAACAGACAGCGGGTTGCTTGGGAGATAATTCTCTCAATGGCAGCTATACTGTGTTAGCTGGTTAACTTCCATCAGTACCCCAACACACCATGGCCTTCCCAAACCTTAGCTTACGTCTGCCTGTAGCTAATAACAGGTAATTAATTAATGAGGAATTGGGGAAGCAGAATAAATTACTCCGGGCAGAGTGCACACTCCATTCCAGGCAAAGGGTCGGAGAGCCAAGTGACCTTCATACATTTAACCTTGCTAACATTGAGTATTTTATTTTCAATTTAGCGTGTTCAGATGTACGCTGACCAACATCCCTCAGACTCAGTCTTTATTGAACAAAGCTAAGCTTCCATTAGGACTGCATCTGCATCCCTTCAGAGATTTATCGGTAAGACGGTTAATCTTTCAGTAGCCAAAAAAAAAAGAAAAACTGCATATGCATTATTCCTCCGTTGTTGCCTTTGGCCTAGCTATAACTTGACACACACAGCAATTTGGTTGAGATCAGGAGCTGGGAAGAGGCAGCGGAATATAAAACTGAGTAATGTGGTACCACTTGTTCGTTCATTGGGGTTCTGCTGCCTGATCTTTCAAGTCATTGTTTCAAATGGCCTTACAGTTAATTTTAATTCTATATTTGATCTTATTTTTGTTAACGCTGCTGGAGGTAAATGTGTTGTTTATGTTGTTCATTCTTTAATGCTTAGTTTTGCTTCTTGTTGCAGCAATTACCTGTTGTCACATCCAGTACCATTGTTAGGTGTCGTTCCTGCCGGACGTACATTAACCCCTTTGTTAACTTTCTGGACCAAAGAAGATGGAAATGTAACTTGTGCTATCGAGTTAATGATGGTAAGTTTGCTGAAAAGGAGCAAATTTAATTTGACGGGCGGACGGCCATGATGATGTAGTGCACAGAGCTTAGGAATTCCGTGCTGTTTGCTGGCCTCAGCTGGAACTACATAGGGTTAGGGATGGGATAGCCAGTCTGGGTTCCTGCTCCAGGTCCCTCTACTGGTTGTGTGCTTGTGCCTAGGGACAAGCACACCTTGGCCCTCCGGCACCTTGGGACGTCCTCCCGACGTGAAAGGCGCTAAACAAATGTAATTTTGTTGTTGTGTGACAGGCAGGTGCTAGGCTTGGGCCGGTAACACTCAATGTCAAGACTCACACATGGACAAAAAACACTTGGGCGTGGTTCCAGAGAGGAGCCAGAGCCTAAGGAACCACATCCTAGCAGGAGGAGGAGGTTAGGAGCTAGAAGTGAGATGTAGGCCAACAGGGAGAAAATTCTAATCCTGTAGCTCGTGGCATAGCTTGTGTGCAAGGGGCCAGCAATGCCATCCAATTCCCACGCCCGTGGGTAGCAAAAAACTGATGGATTATTATGACATCAGCGGTGTATGGGATCCATTGCCATATCCATTGTGTTGTAACAGGACCACACTGTATATTAGTTTTGAACTCTGCAAGTACTTTGCTAATGAAATGCTAGTAGAGAAAACTTGAAGCCAAATCTTGCAATGTTGTATCGTTAAGGTGCAGATTGTCATGCAGTTCCTTAAAAACCTGAACTGCTGAAGAGATTGGATGCTTGGGTCTTACAAGCCATTTGGTTCTAGCACTTCACTGCCAGAGATCTGGGAATGGGCTTCCTGCTTACAAAATTCAGTCATGACACTTTACAGTAAATCCTGTGAAGAGGTTTGAGTCACCCTACTGATATGAAAGGCATGAAAACATTTGCACACACCACGTGTTCTAAAAGAATGGGGTATCTGAAAAGTGATCTAAAAGAATAAAGATTACTATCTAAATAGAACAAGAATGCATCTATTACTGAAGCATTGCGCTTTTAAGTGAGTTGTCTTTTGCCAGTGTCAGACACTGAAATATTTACTATTCTATCGCTAGCATTTCACTAGACATTGTATCAGTTTTGTAGAAAGGCAGGCCTAAAAAAACAGGCATTCTAATACTATTTTGCCCACAAAATATAGTCGATTCACTTTACAGTATATTCTGTGAAGCGCTTTGAGACAACTCGAAGATGTGATGCAAGGATTATTATTTAGATATCTGTGTATTTAAGAAAAAGTCTGACAATTGTTGTACAATATTTAGTCCCAGAAGAATTCATGTATAATCCAGTGACCCGATCATACGGAGAACCCCACAAGCGGCCAGAAGTTCAGAGTGCAACGATAGAATTTATTGCTCCTTCAGAATACATGGTGAGTGCAAATGTTTTCATAACACAATTTCTACACTTTATCCAATTTATAGATGTTACATTGCGGCTGAAGTTGGCTCTTATTCAAGCACATTTGTGATGTACAAAATTGTCAGGTTTGTGAATTGAGTACATGCATTTGAGTACATGCATAGTTTGCATTTAAGATACCAATGCTGCTTTTTATTCAGATCAGAAAGTCACAAATATGCCATGTGCGTGATATATATCCTTCCCCAGTGTTCTGTGTATCTGGATTGGAACATACAGATCCTGCGTACAACATTTTTGAAATGTTCTTGTGGTTTGGAGTTCCTGCTTAATTGTGAAGGGCTTTGAGACGCGACAAAGATGTGATAAAGAGCTATATCAAATGCAAGGATTATTAATTATTAATCAACGTCTTTTTTTCCCCCCAGTTGCGTCCACCACAACCTGCAGTGTATCTGTATGTCTTGGATGTTTCTCATAATGCAGTAGAATCCGGATACTTAAATACCGTCTGCCAATCCTTGTTGGAAAATCTGAACGTGTAAGTTTCATTTTTTTTNCCTCTGGGTTTTAGTTGTTCACTTCTGTCATTGAAATTCCATCAGAGTGAGTGCAGCGAAACCCTTTACAGCACTATCAGCTGGATTCAGGTGTCTCACTGACCATGTTCATAGAGTACTGCCTGACTCAGGAAAGACTTGGAGGAGCAGACCAGTCAATGGGGGCAAGGATTCTTCTTCCCACTTGGCTCCTGTTAACCCTGCAAGTCACAATTCTGGTAAGATGAGACTAACTGGACAAGCAGTGGGTTGTTTGGCAGACAGTGCTTTCTTTCAATGGAAGCTACGTGGTTTTAGCTGACTAAACTCCAGTAGCCCCCTTACTCACATCACTCTGGGGTACTGAAAGCCTTGGCTCTTCCCAAACTGCGAGACGATTCATCTACAAGACACCAATACAGCCGGGGACAGAAATTGAAACTCATCACCTGTTTTAGAAGAATCCGATAAACTAATTATCTTTTTAATCCCCCGCAGGTTGCCTGGTGATTCCCGCATGAGGATAGGATTCATTACATTTGACAGCACTGTCCATTTCTACAATCTTCAGGAGGGTCTGTCTCAGCCTCAGATGATGGTGGTTTCAGATATAGAAGGTATGCTTTCAACTAGCAGAAGAAGAATTCATTTTGCTGGTGTCACGTGGCCAATTTAAAGTATCGGCCTGGCTCTGTTCTTAGCGCTCTCACTGCTGCGTCAGCAGGTTGTGGGTTCAAGTCCCGTGTCTGAGGCTTTCAGCTTGTGGTCTAGGCTGACATTTCAGTCCAGCCCAGGGAATGCTGCATTCTCTTGAGTTTCTGTCATTTAGATGATTTTGACCGAAGTTCAGTTGGATTATGAAAGACCCAAGACTTTCAAAAGGGGAAGTGTCCTGCCCCACAATCGTACAGTTAATCAGGTAGTGGACAGTGGTTACTGTGAAGTGTCAGATATTTTAATGTCTTCACAAACTATATCAAATGCGATTATTAATAATAATAATCCTCTCCCTGTAATGACATGGGTGGATATTTTATTTGATATTTTGCTTTAGTTGCTAGTATATAATCAATGAAGCAAGGAAGTTTGAGTGATGAGGAAAGGTTACTAAAGTGGGTTTCTGTGTGTACAGTGAGTATATACCCACAATGGGTAATCATCGAAGATTGATGTTGATCCAAATGGGTTTGAAAATCTTGCTCTTCTTTTGCAGATATCTTTATTCCAACTCCAGATAACTTGTTGGTGAACTTGAATGAAAGCAAAGAGGTAAAACATATCTTGAATATCTGTATGGAACCTAGTACAGTGGCCTTCATTGTAGAGCAGTTGTTGAAGTCAATAAAATTCCAACCTGCCTTGCAAAAGATAGCTGGTTTCACTGTGCATGGTTGCAGCCCAGTTGGTTTCTGTGCTTAAACCTTGTCTGACTTCCAGGTCACCTTATAACAAGCGTGCGTTATATATTGTTTTATACTGCTTTAACTTGAGCAGGCTGTAAAGCTTTTGCAGTTGTGGATTGACTATTTCAGAGCCCATCATCCAATCGTGCTTGTTGATGTAATTTATAGATTCATCCAGCACCTTATCGCATGACCTCCAGATTCATGGCCTAATGTATTAAAAGTATACATTTGGGATTTATGGTACTTGATGTGCTACAAATATTCTAAAGGCTAGATTTTATATTGAACGGTGATGATTATTACACGCCGAGTGAGAATACTATTGCTGGCCAGGTTTCAAAGACTTTCCTGCATTGCGATGTTTTTAAGATTGTTGTACATCGAATATAAAATTTAAAAAAAAGGTTTGAAAGTAAGTAATACACTGAACGTATTTTTTTCTTGTTTTTTTTTTTTAAGTTGATCGAGGACTTGCTGAGAGCTTTGCCGCAGATGTTTAGCAACACTTCAGAGACCCAAAGTGCCCTGGGGCCTGCACTGCAGGCGGCGTTCAAACTGCTGTCACCCACTGGAGGTCGAGCCTCTGTCTTCCAAACACAGCTGCCTTCAATAGGTGTGGGGGCTCTAAAACCCAGAGAGGATCCCAGCCAGAGGTCCAGTGTAAAGGTAGTACAGTGCCATCCTGTGATCGTAGCATGTTTTAACTGCTCCGTAGTGATTGTCCAGCGCCTTGGGACGTCCTCCCGACGTGGAAGGCGCTATACAAATGTAATTCTGTTGTTGTTGTCGTGCTTTTTCTTACGTGAAAGTCCAGAAGTTAGGAACGATGAGCCATCGGGCGTCACGTCTGTGTTGCTTTTGTTAATAAAACACCTTATTTTCTTGAAATCAGATAATTATTCATCAGATAATGCTCGATGATTATTTTTATTATCACTTGTGTTTGGCCCACAAAATACACAGTCAATTCACTTTACTGTGTTTTCTGTGAAGCGCTTTGAGACATCTCAAAGACATGATAAGGCGCTGTATCAAATGCAAAGATTATTATTACAAGGTTTGAATATTTTGAGCTGAGCAGCTAATGAGCCATCTCCAGCGTTGACACACTGACTTGTTAATATCTTCACTCCTACCCCATCCATATTTATTAGGAAAGTTTTAGCTTGTTACTGCAGATAGAGGTCTTCATCTGGTTAGAATCTAAGCGCTCTGGGATGCTACCCGCGTAAAGGACTATATAAATGCAAGTTGTCGTTATAGAATTCTCTCAAAAATCCCAAGGTACTAACAAATATTTAAGAAACAAAATACTGTCGCTGTGTGAGATTCTGAAGAAGGCTGTTGCTCATGCCTCGAGTGTTTTTACACTTTAGGGGGTTACCTCTGGTTCATTGGGCCTCTCGTAACTTGCTCTAAGAAGGATATGTTGTAAGTTAATGTAGATAAAAACAATTGTATGTTATACACATTTGACTCTGTTTTATTCCCTGAAGGATGTGCAGCACCTCTCTCCTGCCATTGACTTCTATAAGAAGTTGGCCCTGGACTGTTCGGGACAGCAGATAGCAGTCGACCTCTTTCTGTTAAATGGCCAATATTCTGATTTGGCATCTCTGAGTAAGTGAGACGAATGTTTGCAAGTCCATCGTCTTAATGTTTGCCAAACTTATTGTTTAATTGACGTATAGTAAATGCAAGTAGAAACCAGTAGTGTCCTTCAAACCCCACATCCGTGCTTTAACCCGTTCAACTCCCACCCCAAGCTTGGGTCTCCTTTTGGGAGTTACTGAGTGGAAACTTGTGTGGAGCATAAACACTGGCATGGACTAGTTGGGCCCAATGGCCTGTTTCTGTCCTGTACAATCTATATAAATCAATGTAAGTAACAGAAAGCCAGGGGGAAAATTAACTCTCCAAATGTTACACTTTAAATGCTGCATGTTGGAAGCAAATGACTTGCATGTAAACCACTCCCTTCTTGAAGCCTGGGTAGGCTAATTTAGAAGCATATGCATGCAAGTTGTGCATGTTTAATGTATTACATAAACGCATAATTGTCCAGGGCTCGCTTCATAAAATCCACACTGCCCTCAAAACACAAGAACTGTCTTTAAAATTCCTCACACGTGATTACAGAACCTTACTATGAGTTGCAACAAAACTATTCAAAGGTTTTCAATGATATGAAAACTCTTTTGTTCTTCCCAAGTACAATTCCTACTGGATTTCATTACTCACGTCTATCAATCTCCTGATGCTGGTAATCCTGTCTGGCGGAGGAGGTGGGGGGAAGAAAGAAACCTGTGACACTGAAGATTGATGCATCACAATACCAGTTCCAATTGAATCATTTAAATATTGCTTTAGGCTTTCCCATTGGTATATCAAACGCAAGAATAATTATTACTCGGTCACCCTCCTATCCCTACCCTCCCCTGCCCCCCGATCCCAACCATCAGCTCGGGTGCGGATAGCTGACTATCCAGCGCTTTGGGACGTTCTCCTGTTGCGAAAGGCGTGATACAAATGTAATTTGTTGTTGTTGCTTTGCTTTTGGGCCGTTTGTTTAAACTTTCAGGTAGTGAATTTTGCAGCGGGAGAGCAATATTTGGATGCTGTTTGGATTTAAGTGTTACCAAATGATGACCATAACCATATACAGGGTGATCAAAAAGTTGTTATATCTACCCTACAATCCCCCATATATACATATCATTTCTTTAAGACTTATTAGACATCGTAATGATATCACAACTTTTTGATCACTACCCAAAACCGGTTTTGTCACTTTTTTTGTTTGTTTTGATGCACAACTGAAAGTCTTTTTCTAATGTGTTTCAGCTTGTATTTCAAAATACTCTGCGGGCTGCATCTACTATTACCCTTCATACCATCACAAACACAACCCCGCCCTGATGGAGAAGTTTGAAAAGGAGATTAAACGCTATTTGACCAGAAAGGTTGGCTTTGAAGCAGTCATGAGGATAAGATGTACAAAAGGTTGGTCTCCTTTGTATGTGCTGTTAAAACCACTCGGCTAGTACACTCTTGAGGCTGAACACTAATAATCCTTGATGTTAGTGATACTGCACGACTGTGGGACACTGCTGCGCAATTGGCTGCCGCATTTTGCCTGCAAAATATCCAGTCAATTCACTTTTAAGTACATTCTGTGAAGCGCTTTGAGACGTCTCGAAGAACGAGAAAAGGCCCTGTATCAAATGCAAGGATTATTATTACTTATTATACTTGCAATGGAAATTGCTGGCCTGGGGTGGGGATGGTATTCTTTTAACCAAACTTTCAAAATGGATCCTGTACACTGAAAGATAATTTGTGCCTTCGACTGAAAAAAAAGTTTAATTTATTTAATTTTTTATCCTAGGTCTTGCAATCCATACTTTCCATGGAAACTTCTTTGTACGTTCCACGGACTTGCTGTCGCTGCCCAATATAAACCCTGACGCGGGTTTTGCAGTGCAGATGTCCATCGAAGAGAATCTGACAGATGTGCAGCTTGTCTCGTTCCAAGCCGCCCTATTGTACACTTCGAGTAAAGGTACGGATAGACTAGGAACGCTTTGCTGTTATTGATAAGAATCAGGGAGACTGCAGAGTGCGCCGAATTTGTTTAACTATTTTTAAAATTTGTTAAGTCATTTATGGTTCATTTTAAAGCTGCTCCGGCCTCATTTGAACAACTTTCTGTATTTATTTCAGTTTTCCAGTATGTTTGTTTTTGGTATCCTGTCTAGGTGAGCGACGCATTCGAGTTCACACCATGTGTTTACCAGTGGTGAACTCGCTGGCAGATATTTACGCAGGAGCTGATGTTCAGGCCATCACCTGCCTGCTGGCCAGCATGGGTAAGTGTTTAGTCTGCATTCAAAACTGATCTTAAAACCCAACGTTCTCCATTGATGCTGTTGGCAGTAACAGTGCGCCCCACCATCAGCGATCGGGCCTTCAGCCTCTCTGTCCCCACCCTTTGGAACTCCACCCCACACTCCCTTCTCCTCGCCCCTTCCCTTGCCTCCTTCAAGGCACATCTCAAGCCTCTCCTCTTCGACCGTGCCTTCGGTCACCCTCCTACACCTACCGTCCCTGCCCTCCACCCCCCACCCTGATCTCAAACCCCTGCTCAGGTCCAAATCCTAGACTGTCCAGCTGTGTAAATGTCATTTGCTGCTGTTGTTTTAGAGGATTATTGAATATTAACTTTATAAATTTAAATTTTTAGTGCTTTAACCATGTTCTTCCCACACATTTCTCAATCAATGTTCTACTTTTAGTGTTGATTTGTCTCCAAATCTAACCCAGTTCTTGAGTTGGAAGGCTGTGGGTTTAAAAGAAGGGAGTTTGTTGGCCAACAATCCCACAAATCAAATTGGTTGTTTGTTTCATGGCTATTTGTGAGACACTGCTGTGTGCAATTGGGCTGCTGCTTTCGCCTACAAACACACAGTCATTCCACTACATCGGTAATCAAAAAAAGATCTATGAAATAAAGTGGATAAGTAGCCCTAATTTACAAATACAGTCGCTCCACTATAGTTAACTCCTGTAAAGTGCTTTGGGTCATTCTCCTGAAGTGAAAGGCCCTATTCAAAATGCCGGAATCATCATTAACCTTATTGTTTTACCCCTGAACCAGCCTGGTTACCCGAGCTATAAGCTATAAGTTACTGTGTACACGACCCTTTGGACACACTGAATATTTCATTCTCATTCGAGTGTCGTCTCCTTTTGTTTATACAGCGGTTGACCGATCCATTTTGTCGAGTCTGAGTGATGCCCGAGACGCCTTGGTTAATGCTGTGATAGACTCGCTCTCCACTTATCGTTCAGCAGTTTTGAGCCAACAGCAGCAACAACAGCCGGGTGTAATGTGCCCTGCGTCACTGCAGCTGTTTCCGCTCTACGTCCTATCACTATTGAAACAGGTATGAGCCAAGATTACTTCAGCACCTTAAAATATAAGAGAGTGAGGATGTTGGTTAGACCACAGCTGGAAAATATCTATTTTGGGCAATATTAACATCTGATAATTAACAATATATTTAACAGTATCAGAGCTGCAGGAAGGACACAGCATAGATTCATAGAGATGATTAAGGGCCATATAGATATGGGGAGAGATTAGAGAGATTGGAAATCTTTCTACTGGTGATATGATCTAGGTATTTAATGTTATGAATGTGTTTAAGAGATTAAATGGCAAATTATTTCCATTGGAAAGTGATTTTAGGCCATGATATATCTATATATAATTATATAACAATGATCCTTGCATTTGGATCCTCAACCCACAACTGTTTGTGGGATACTGCTGTGCGCAATTGGTTTTACCCACAAAATGGAGTCCTGTAACTCAGTGGTTAGAACACTCGCTTTGCAAGTGAGAGACCTGAGTTCAATTCCAGGCAGAGGGCGAAACCTTGGGCAAGTTTCCTTACTCCACACAGAGCCTAATAATAATCCCTCCAAAACCAAACAATAATAAATTGGTCATTTTCAATCTACGACTGTTTGTGGGACATTGCTGTGCGCAATTGGCTGCCGCGTTCGCCCACAAATATACAGTCAATTCACTCTACAGTGTATTCTGTGAAGCGCTTTGGGACGTCCTCCCGACGTGAAATGCGCTATATCAAATGCAAGTATTATTATGAATTCAGACATACACGTGAGAGAGGGTACTGAGAATACGGTGAACCGCGAGCCCTGCCATCATCAGCGCGACGGTTTGCATTGAAGCTGTTGAAGTAAGAATAAATTAAAACTTTGACCCTTTTTATTTCAGAAAGCTTTCCGAACTGGGACCAACACGAGGTTGGATGACCGTTTGTTCTGCATGTGCGAAGTGAAATACCAACCCGTGGCTTACCTCATGCTTATGGTTCATCCGAGCCTGTATAAGGTTGACAATCTGTCTGATGAGGTAGGTTGCAGTCTGCACTGAATATCACTTATTATTCTAAAATTGAGCTGCTTGGTTTAGTGGTAGTTAATCATTAATCATTAATAAATAACAATGTTTTCTTTTCTAGGGGTGCATGCACATTAATGAGAAAACTGTACCTCAACCACCAATTCTTCAGCTTTCTGTAGAGAAACTAAGTAGAGACGGAGCCTTTCTTATGGATGCTGGCTGTGTAAGTGACGTTTATTTTTGGTCACCTGGACAGGTGTGGAAACCCATCAATCACTATGCTTCAGAATATCCAAACCAAACTGAGAACTCCATGCATCCACACTATCACACGGAAATCCCAGGGATGGCTTGTTGCAAGGAATTCACACACTCTCTGGAGGGTCGCATTTTGTTTACCTAATTCCAGAAAGTATTGGGCGCAGGTTTGCAAGACGCATTTTTAAAAAAAAAAAACTGTTTGAAAAGCTTTCTATTTTCTCTGTTCACCTCGCAGTAATTAAGACCCGGTTGTTAGTCGATTGGCAATTGAATAATCCTTTCCAAATAAATAAATTAACAATAAAGATAAGAATTTGGTCACTGAATCCACAACTGTCTGTGGGACACTGCTGTGTGCAATTGGCTGCTGCTTTTCGACCACAAAATATAGGCGTCTCGAAGATGTGATAAGGAGCTATAATTATTATTATTTGTGGTCTCTTGGGAAGATAGTTGAGCCAATCATTATGCTGCGCGTATTAGAAGCTGCCCGAATAAGCTGAACTTGAAACCTTATATTTGGCGAAGAGAGAAGACTTTAATTAACTCTGGATAGATTCAAACCTACACCCGAGTTGAAAGCATCTCTATTCATCACCCAGTTCACATTAACAATTTGAGGTTGAATATGTGGGTTTGACTTTGATACGTTGTGGGAAAGTAATATGAATGCAATTTTTGTCTTTCAGGTTCTCTTTCTCTGGGTTGGAAAAAATTGTGGCTCACACTTTGTGAACCAGGTGCTCGGCGTTTCTAACTATTCTTCCATACCCCAAAACATGGTATGTTAATGTACATCGAAAGTTTTGCAGCATTTAAACAACAGCAAAATGACATTTGTACAGCGCCTTTCACGTTGTTTCGGACCCGAGCTGGTGGTGGGATCAAGCAAGCTGGAGGGCAGGGGGGAAAAGGAGAGTGATCGAAGGCACGGTTGAAGAGGAGGATCTTGAGACGGGTCTTGAAGGATAATTTAAATTAAATTGAAGGAAAACTAAATTGAAATAAATCAAATGCATCCTTTACTGTTCAGCGTAGCCTTTTTGCCCCAAGATGTTACATAGTAAATCAAATCCCTGACTGTCTAGCGCCTTGAGACGTACTCCCAACTTGAAAGGCGCTATACAAATATAATTTTGTATTATATTACAAGAATTCACGGTCGGCTTTTCTATCTGAATTCTGTTGTTAATTTGAGTCTGTATATAACTTTCTGGCCTCCTGCTTGAGAGGGTTGTGTCCCAGCCCCTCATTGAGACTTGAGCCTAATCTAGACTTAATGAGACGCTATCTTTTGGGTGAGATACTAAACCGAGACCCTGCCTGTTCTTCAGATGGCTATTCTAGATCTCGTGTTTTTGAAAAGAGAAGGGAACATTTCTTAGGTCCCGTCCAACACTTCTCCAGATTAGTCATTTCACCTTGTTACTATTTGTGAAACCTTCCTGACACAAGTGCTGCTGCTTGTACGAACAAAATCATATATATACTTGAATACTTGCAATTCTTTGTAACATTTTAGTGTCTCGGAGCACTGAATATCCTTTGTAAAATGGAGTGGCCAGAACAGTAAATGACCAGGGCTCTGTATAGCTCTACGAACATTTGTTTGATATTCTATACTTGTCACGGAATGGGTGAAGACTCGTATGGAGTATAAACACTGGCACGGACTGGGCGGGTCAAGCGACCTGTTTCTGTGCTGTATGGTCTCTGTAAATCCTTGTCTAGCTCTATTTATTTCCCTGTGGCAAATTTACACATTTTGTTATCCAGAGATCCTACATAGTAGATAGTTTGCACATTCATTGTTATCTAACAATGAACAATGAAGTCCTGTAGCTCAGTGGTTAGAGCACTCGCCTCCCAAGCGAGAGACCTGGGTTCGATTCCCAGCCGGGTGAAAGCTTGGGCAGGTTTCGTTACTCCTCCACAAGCCTGATAATAATCCCTCAAGAAAGAAAAAAACGATAATAAGTTGGTCACTTCAGTCCACGACTGTTTGTGGGGACGCTGCTGTGCGCAATTGGCTGCCGCGTTTCGCCCACAAATATACAGTCAATTCATTTTACAGTATATTCTATGAAGCGCTTTGAGACGTCTAGAAGACGTGAAAAGCGCTATATCAAAGGCAGGGATTATTATAATATAACAATTTAACAAAGTGCTATAAAAATGTTGGCGCTTTCATTCTCATTTGAATTATTGTGATTGACGATAAAAAGCTGTAAGAATAGTTACACTGTACTTCCTGTTGATGTCTTAGCGCCTGTAACAGCAGTTGTTTACATTCTTTCCAAATTAGATGCAACTTCCAGAACTGGACACTGCTGAGTCTCAGAGAACCAGAGCTTTCATCTCCTGGTTGCGAGATCAAAGACCGTTCTTTCCTGTGCTCCACGTCATCAAGTAAGTACAAAGGTTGATCAGTTTTGAAATAAGACCGACCTGGTATATCGGGGGGGAAAAGAAATGGCTTTTGAGTAGAAGCCTTATTCAGTTCAGAGCATTCAAATCCCCAGCCAGCCGGACTAACGGAGGGGAGATCTAGCGAGTCAGAATTTGTGGCTTGGTGTAATGACAATGCAAGCACTGGGATTTCAATGCTGGCAAATGCCTGTATCCTCGTTGCAATTGTTTGAATCCTGTGAGCAGCAGATAGAGAATAACCTGTCTTCTGCCCTCGGGATTTGAGCTGAGTCTAAGTTGATATTCCCTGGCCACGGGCGGAGGGGGGTGGGCGGGGGCTAGGAAAATTAGGCCAGCGGTAGCCTACATGCATGTCTGCGAAGAAATGTCTATATTTTGGACCCGGATTCTAATAGTAGTTTTAAAGTAAATTGATCTGAATGAGATTCCTTGTTTAGACACTTCTAAAGCTTTGTGCTTCCAGAAGACCACAAGACTGTGGATCTTTCCGGCGTTTTTCATTTAACTCGTCAATTTAACTTCCTGCCCCCTTATTTCTTAAAAGACGGCAGCGTCTTGTGGCTCTCTAAAGGTTAATCTTTCTTATCCAACGGGACTGATATGTGAGGTTTACTCAGTGCCTGCAGATAATTCAGCCGTGGGGAAGAGGAGGAGGGAGCTGAGGCCTTTACGCATGTCAACAACAAAATTACATTTGTAAAGCGCCTCTCACGTGTCAGCGAGGTTGTTAGTCTTGGCAAGTGTAGTTTCCTCCCGTTGTTTTAATGGAGTCCTGAAGGAAGCAGGTCTCTTTCTCAATGATGCTGTTCAGGAAATAGCTTCATCTTATTTATTCATTTGGATATTTGCGTTTGCCTACAAAATACAGTTATATATATATATATCTATAAATACTCACAGAAATCCCGTGAAGCACTTCTAGACATCGCCTCGATATGAAAGGTGCAACGGTTATCACTCTATTCATCATAAGATTCTTTTTATTGAGCCCATTTGCACAGCTTACTTCAAAAATGTTAATTTACCCACCAAGAAGGTGACATCTTAAGGCCTTTAGCTTGTCCTTAAACTTTTGCTAATGTTGTTTGCTTTTCACCCCACAAAATGTTGTACATCAGAAATTCTTGCATTTTGATACGGCGCCTTATCACGTCTTCGAGACATCTTAAAGTGCTTCACAGAATATACTGTAAAGTTAATTGGCTGTTTATTCTGTGGGTGAATATCATCTCTGGACTAAATATTGGAAGTGTAACATGTATGAACGTTGGTGGGTGAAACTGGTGACTGATACTATCGTCGTTTCTTTGTTAAACACAGGGATGAGAGCCCTCTTAAAGCCAACTTCCTGCAGAACATGGTTGAAGACAGGACAGAGTCAGCATTGTCTTATTACGAGTTCCTGCTTCACATACAGCAACAAGTGAACAAGTGACCCTTACAAGAGGGTGCTGCTTAGAGATGGCTCACGTCGGTACAAGGAGCCAGTATTTACATGCTTAATAAAAACTAAATATTGGTCTCCTTTCCATTTTGACTTCAACCTACATTTTCTAAACCTATTGGAAATGTGTGATAGGTTGGACGACAAAGATTAGAAATAGTACTAAGCCATTCTTTTGATTTATGTTGATAGCATTTTGAAGATTTACTTAGTTAAACCCGAATAGATTGAAATGTTGCAGCGTACAAGTTGTGAGAAGCTAAATGTATCTATTCTGTTCAAACTTTGGATTTCTAATGTTGGGATGTGGTACTCTCTTTTTTTTAAAAAAAAAGCCACATAACTGGGATGTAATAGCATGATTTAATATCCTGTAGTAAAAGCTGTGGAAACTAGAGGAAATCATCGCACTGTAGTGTTCTATGTAAACTTATTTCAAATCATGGTTCTTTTTCTTCCTCCTCCATAAGGCGAGATGATGTTTCTAGGAGATGCTTGTAAAAAAAATGGAGGAACGTGAGAAATTTGATCACAATTGTCTGAGCTCTTCACAACCGGTGATTTTAAGCAGACTGTAGATTGTACATACTTGAAATCTTCATTTATGACAGTGTGTATGCCGATAGAGATCAACTTTAGCATCCAATCTCGTCACCAATAGCACGTTTCTCCTTGTGACACATCTGGCCTTTAGACAACCATATTCAGTGTAACATTATTAAATTTGCTATATTTTTCTAGTTTCTCCCGCTTTTTTAACTAGGAAGATGACAGATTTATGCAGAGGCAACTTATTTATGTAAGAATTCACTATATGGTAAAAGTGCGATTTATATCAATGTTGCTGGTATTGCTGATAATCCACATCTTTGTGCTCGGAGTATCATGTGCATCGACTTTTTAAATTTATAAGTGATATTTAAGTTTGAATGTGTTCTAATGATTCTAATGTTCTATTGAGCAGAGTGTAACAGGTCTGTCATGTCTAACATTTCTACTTGGAGTGAACAAACCTTTTCTGATCAGGACAGGTAGATCTATTTTACAGATGGGCTTTTTTTTATTAGATTTCTTTAAAATCACTGAACAAAGTTGACTCTGCAGAACCTGCTAAAAACAGTATCCGGGACCACAAATATCCATTTGAAAGTCCATACACTATGAAAATGTAATCTGTATATAGTAAATTGCATTTTGTAAAGTAGTGTATAAAATTGTAACAAATTAAATCCTAATTCTCTTAAAAGCGTTCAATTCTGAGGTCTTGGATATTAATGCATTCACTGATTTTTGTAGAATCTTTCCATGGGGATTTTTTTAGATGCACATTAGTCTTTTGCTCTCTGGACAGTTTGAACTTGCTGTGTTGGTATTGTTTTAAGAAATGGTTACAGGAATACTCGACCTGCTTTACTGATTTGGTTTTGTTTCAGTTTTATAAAACTGCAAACCTTCCGGTCTGAGATGCTGAGGTGCAACTGTGAAACTGATTCCGAGGTGAATAGTATTACAGGGGGTGGTTGTATATTCTACACTGCCCTGTCTCCAAGATTTTTTTTTACCAAATTGAGATGCTATTTGTGTTTATTGCCCTTTGTAATGCTGCTGGGACCTGAATGTAACCATCTTCTATCCCTGATTTTCCCACTCAAAGAATAAACTGAAATGCTCTAAACTTCCAAACTATCCGGGTATCAAAACAACAACAAAATTACATTTGTATAGCAATTTTCACTGTTAGTTTGAGTTGGAGATTTGGCTCCTGCGCTGAATTTACTGCCAAATTTATTCATTAGAACCAATCGTCTGATTTACTTGTTTAATGTTTCCAGCTTTTATCTGTTCTGGTGTGGAAACATGGACCTGTTGGTCGCCTGCAACAATAGTGAGTGTTTCTCTCGGAAAAGATGCAGGAAGCTGTTGCATTCAAACACACAGCTGGGCAATTTTTTCTCGAGGGTGAAATTAAAAACCGAAGTGGCTGGGAACACTCAGCAGGTCAGGCAGCATCTATGGAGAGAGGAAAGTGAGATGAAAAGTTGATGACCTTTCGTCAGAACCCAGAGTTCAGTTCTCACTTTCCTCTCCATCGATGCTGCCTGACCTGCTGAGTGTTCCCGGCGACTTCTGTTTGTGTTTCAGATTTCCAGCGTCTGCAGGATTTTGCATTTTGTCTGTTCTCAAGGGAGTCCTGACATTCTCATCCTTCCCTCACACTCAGCATTAATCCTCTATGTATTTGCCAGCGTGATCCCTTCCACAAGAAGTTCATCAGGGTCTGCACCTAAGATCAACACTGACGGGTCAAATTCAATGCAAGTAACTGCACGTAAATAAAAACCGCCGTATTCTCTGTGAGCAGTATGAAAGACTATTGTTTTGGGAGTGGTTTGAGAGTCCAGGAGATGGTGTTTTAACTCCTCGTTGATTTGTTGCATCCGATATTGAAAGACTGAGGCAATACGGATGCAAGTGTTGGCTTGCCTCAGTTGGTTACCTCCTCTGCTTGGGTCAAAAAGTTGTGGGTTCAAACCCCAAATTGGACTTGAGCTCAGTCTAGGCTAACGTGACAAAGCCGTGTATAAGAGGAAAGCCGAATTGTCAGAAGTCCAGTCCTGCACTTGGACACATTAAACTGAGTTCCCATTATCTTGGTCTCTATTTGCAGTCCTTCCACATCAATTTGATGATTTAGGAACTATATCAAATGTAACGATTAATAATAATTCATCTTGTTTGACCTTTAGTGTCTTGTTTGACTCTCAACTATCCTTTCTACCCCACATCGTGCCATGACCTGCTCTGCCTTCCCCACCTCCGCAACATCGCCCGACTGCCCCACTATCTCACACCGCAGGCCTCCGAAACCCTCGTACACTCGATTCATAAAATCCAGGCTTGACTATGCAAACTCCTTGCTTGTCGGCCTCCCCAACTCCTCCCTCCATAGTAGGCTGCAGATCATCCAGAACTCTGCAGCCCGTGTTCTCTCCATGACCTTATCACCCTCATCCTCGCCCGACTCTACTGGCTTCCCATCACACAGAGGATACAGTTCAAGATCCTCGTCCTCACTTTCAAAGCCCTACATGGCCTCGCTCCCCCCTACCTCTGAGACCTCCTAACCCACTACCAGCCTGCCCGCTCTCTTCGCTCAGCGGGCTCCGAGCTGTTTCACGTCCCAAACCTTGCCTGCCACACCACAGGCGGGCAGGCCTTCAGCCACTCTGCCCCCATCCTCTGGAACTCCATTCCGCAGGCCCTCTGCCTCACCCCCTCCCTTGCCTCCTTTCAAGACCCATCTCAAGACTCCTCTTCGACCGTGCCATCAATCACCCACCTCCCCCCCCCACTGCCCTACACTCTCCCAGATCTCGACCCCCAGCTCCGGTCCGAAACAGTGATTGTCCAGCGCCTTGGAACATCCTCCCTTCGTGAAAGGCGCTCTATAAATGTAATGTGGTTGTTGTTAATTCAGGTCATTAATATTAATTGAGAACAAATGAGATAGATTTCTTCTAGAAAATAATATCTGGTGATACAATGTATAGTTTGGGACACGACATGTCAAGTGATTGCCAGGATGGTGGAAGGCGAACTAGATGGACCTTGGTCTTCTTTCGCCAGCAAATTCTTATGTTATATATATATATTAGCCAGCTCAATCCTGAACCAGTGCCCTCTTGAACTTGCTAATATATCTGAATTAATATTAATCACAGTATACAGTTTACTTTAACATCCTCTCCTGGTGAACTGCTTAGGCTTTGCGGAAGGAAAGCCAATCTGCTTGACTTCCCTTTTTACTCTTTCTTTAAATGTTAACCACCACCCCCCAATACTTGATCCCTTCACCATCGTGAGCATTTGGATCCTTTTTGTCCACTTGCCTATGACGTAGAGCTGCAGCCCTGCATTTAACTGTTCAGGTAACGGTATGGAATCTGCATTAATAATAATAATAATCCTTGCATTTGATACTGCGCCTTATCACGTCTTCGAGACGTCTCAAAGCGCTTCACGGAATATACTGTAAAGTGACTTGACTGAATATTTTGTATTCTCGCTCCCTCCCCTCACCATTTCCCCCCCAATGCTCGGGTCCTGAGCCAACTGTCCAGCGCCTTGGGACGTCCTCCCGACGTGAAAGGCGCTCTATAAATGCAATCTTGTTGTTGTTGTTGTAGGCAAAATCTTATCGAAGGTCAGGTTGATTAATGACACCTTCCAGTCTGATCTTTTCTCTTTTTTAACAAGACAAAATGTGACAAATGTCGGAATTTGGTGCCTGCTGCTCTTCACACTTGATACCTCATGGGAGGTTGACTTATTGATGTTATCTAAAATTCAAAAAAGATCAATCCAGTTCAGTGTTGATGTTAAGTGAGATCTGGAATTTTTAACATACTTCGAAGTTCATTGTGGCCAAGAATCCCTCAAATAAAAATGAGTCATTTGCTTTAATGGTGTTCATCGATCAGTCAAAATCAGTCACTCACTGGACTTCAGAGTAAAATCCCGTGAAGTGCTTTGAGACGTATTGAAGATGCGATAAATGCAAATATTATTACAATCTTGCAATTGAACGCTGGCTACCATTCAACCTAGGTATCTGTTTCTGGTAATGTTACATGTCACATCGACTCTGCTCATGAAAGCTTCTCTGTGAATCAATTGTACAATGGATAACTTTTGACTTCTAATGCTTTCCTCCGAGCAGGTTATCCTGCATGTAACGGGTTAAATCGTTGTTTCCTTCAAACCGTGTTTATAGTATCCAACAACTACAAGAATTTCCATGATGAGGGGTCCGGGGCTTATTCTTTTATCTCACCTGGTAGTGTATGATGCTGCCAACAGGTGCTCAAAGTGAATTGACCCTCCCCGAGCAGATCACCGTTCAAAAGCGTCTGTTAGAGGTGCAGTTTTTGCTGGTGAGGGAAGTGATGCAGTAGCAATCTTTCCCACACGAGGGTGCAGTCGACCGTAATTTATAGAATTGTAGAATACAGTACATTGGTGAAGGTGCTTACATTTGTGCACTTGATAGGGCAAACTATGGGAATATATGTACAATATTCCATAGGTAATACGCTCCCGGAAACTACCCTGTGCAAGGGGGCTATATAAATACAAGTTGTTGTGGTAGCTACTGTGAACAGAAATGCAATACTGGAACCAGTATTTTTACTCTTGTTTAAAAGCAATCTTGTTTCTGGGATATTTGACGTACAAATGGTAAACTTTATAATAACTTGCCAGAAAGCTGAGTCTAGGTTCAGTGCAAGACCATGTTTCATAGACCCTCAACAAAGAAAAGGCAAGCAAAACATACTTTTTGTTAAATTCTTCACATATTAAAACATACTGTTACATATGCAACTTAAAAAAAATTTTGGTATTATTTTTAATATTAGTATCTAGATATAAAACATTTCACAGGCGCCATATATCGGGCGGCAAGTTAGTTTTTAATTTGTTAGTTTTTAATTTGGCTTCATTGTAATTTTGGGGGGAAAAAAGTATTCTATGCCATCAACAGTGATTTTCAATCAATAAGAAATTCTGAACAAAATTCATCGTGTGGCAGAGATCTAAATAAAGTAATACTATAATAATCCAAATTGCAAAATCATTGTATTACAGAAGTATTATCTTCCTGTAAAAGTGGTTGGTAAATGGATAAAGTAAACACATATGTATTTCATTAAAGACAAAGGCAATGTGATAAAATGGCATTGAACTCTGGCTCCATTCCCTCCTACGCAATGAATGCCGCTTTCCTAATAAAGCTGGACAAAAAATGTTATGCGGCTACTTAAAGCATTGTAACAACAATTTAGTATTTTAAAGACAACAGCTTTAGAAACAATTTCCTTCAAAGCAAACAAAGCACATCTGTGAAGACCAACTTTCTCTTAATCGTCGACTTTTGACGTGTCACACGACTTGGGTGTCAAGTTCTCTTCCACATTACATTCGTCTGTGTTTTTGGACATTTCTGTGTTCTTTGACTTCTTTCCCTCGTAAATTCTGTAAACTGAGAAAGAAAGAAATATTTTCCAGATTGTGGTATATGTTACAGCTTTACTTGCTTTTCTACCTCACTAGAAAAAGTTATCAAGTTATTTGTTATTAATCTCACTTTCCAATTCTTTCCCCATATTCAAAGATTTACTGTGGAGTCCTGTAGCTCAGTGGTTAGAGCACTCGCTTTGCAAGTGAGAGACCTAAGTTCAATTCCAGGCAGAGGGCGAAACCTTGGGCAAGTTTCCTTATTCCACACAGAGCCTAATAATAATCCCTCCAAAATCAAAAAAACAATAATAAATTGGTCATTTTCAATCTACGACTGTTTGTGGGACATTGCTGTGCGCAATTGGCTGCCGCGTTCGCCCACAAATATGCAGTCAATTCACTTTACAGTGTGTTCTGTGAAGCGCTTTGGGACGTCCTCCCGACGTGAAAAGCGCTATATCAAATGCAAGGATTATTATTATTATTATTATTATTAATTAATCCGTTTCACGTTTTTTTATTGTGCAGGTGCTTATCCATCCCCTTTGAACCATTGGAGAAGATCCCAAGGAGATTGACCAGGATGGTACCAGGAATGAGGGACTTCAGTTATGAGGAGAGGCGAGAGAAGCTCGGATTAATCTCCTTGGAGCAGAGAGGGTTAAGAGGAGACTTAATAGAAGTTTTCAAAATGATGAGGGGATTCGAACAAGGAGAAACTACTTCCACTGGCGGGTGGGTCGGTAACCCGAGGACACCAATTTAAAATAGATAGTTGTCAAAAGAAACAGGGGAGGTGAGGAGAAATTTTTTTTCACACAGATCTGGAATGCATTGCCTGAAAGGGTGGTCGAAGCCGATTCAATAGCAACGTTTAAGGGAGAAGTAGATAATTATTTGGGGAGGACAGGTTTGCAGGGCTATGGGGAGAGAGCGGGCGAGTGGGATCGAATTCGATAGCTCTTTTCAAAGAGCGGGCACAGACACGATGGGCCGAATGGCCTCCATCTGAGCTGTATGATTCTATGAACTTGCCCAACATTTCACCCTGCCGAGAATCGAACCCAGGTCTCTCGCTTGTGAGGCGAGTGCTCAATAAGTAGAATACTTTTATGAGAATTGTGTTGCCTTATTTCACGAATAACTGAGAGATCTCACCAATGACCATGGCAATCCCGAAAATGATGCTGCTGCAACTGTAAACCATTGGGAAGAAGATCATTTCAGTAGCCACCTCAGCGGGAAATGAGATCTTGATAATTATGGAGCACAAATTAGCATTCTGTATACCAGTCTCCAAAGAAATGGTACGACACCTACTCAAACAAGAAAGGTTTTGGAGAGATCGACAATCATTAAACTGAATTCAACAAATCTTTATCTGTTAAGAGAGCCAGTGCAACATTAGTAAGAGTTTCAATAATAATAATCCTTGCATTTGATACAGCGCCTTATCACGTCTTCGAGACGTCTCACAGAATGTACTGTAAAATGAATTGACTGTAGATTTTGTGGGCAGATAGCGCGGCAGCCAACAGCGCACAGCAGCGTCCCACAAACAGTCGTGGATTGAGTGACCACAATATTATTATATTTACTTTTTGAAGGGATTATTATCCCCCGGTAAAGCAATCTGCCAATCGACTAACAACCAGGTTCCTACTGTACTGCTAGGTAAACAGAGGCGTGTGGAGTAAGGAAACTTGGCCAATGTTTTGGCCTGCCGGAAATCGAACCCAAGTCCTCTGGTTTGCGAGGCGAGTGCTCTAACCACTAACCTCCAGGACTACCACAACTGAAGATGACCAAATTAAGAATGCATGAGCCAGTTAAGTGGTGCTGAACGGGGATGTTGCTGAGAGTGGTGTAAGGGAGCAATGCATAATCAAACTACCAATTCCAGGAAAGTTACTCTGTTCACTCGCCACTGCCTGCCAAGAAACCTTTAAGTAAATTCTGATTGAACAATTGGTTCCTTTTCTCCATTAAGTCCTGTAGCTCAGTAGTTAGAGCATTCTCAGCAGGACGAAACGTGGGCAAGTTTCCTTACTTACTAGAATCAAGATCATTCGCCTGTTTAACTGAATCACTGCAGACCTAAATTTCTCTCAGTTCAATGCTTCTCTTTGCGCACATTATGTACATAAAATCATATTTTTTCAGAAGGATGGAGAAAAGAGCCACAACAACAATTTGCATTTATATAGCGCCCTTCCCTCCGGATAGCGTCTCGGAGCGCTTAAATGGACTGATTTCTTCTGTGTTCTCAAGAAAATAATAATAATAGCATACTGTAAAGTAAATTGACTGTATTTTGCTTGGCGAAATGCGGCAATCCAATCGCTGTGTGTGTGTGTGTGTGTGTGTGCTAACTCCCTCAAGATCATTTAGTTCTATTCCCCTACCTTTTCCCCATAGCTTGTAGCACAAGTTGCAAAGGGCTTCTGCCAGTACAAGGCATCACCTAATTATGTTGTTTACCTTTGCCAGGGCATACGAGCAATCCAGGCTAGAACAAAGCCCAAAGCGAATCCAATACACGGAAATATTATCCCAGTCATCAGAAAGGTAAGGTTCATTTTCCACATGTCTTTGTACAGCCAGTTTACACCAATGCCAATTAGACACAACAGAACTATACCAATAATCGATCCAATCTGTAAACAAATTATTGTTCAATCATTATTATAAATTATTATTTAGCTGGGTGAGGGCTGGTTTAGCTGTCGTAGATAAGCAAGGAAGATGAGTAGCCTCTGCTCAGCACTCACAATACAGCTCAGATGAGGAACTAAACAGAATAAGGGATGCAAAGTGTGTTTGCCCACAGTCCTGCTAGTGTGTGGCCCCCTGTGTTATTTTGCTGCACTCTGTGCTACTCTCACCACAAATACTCTTTCACAATAAGGAAACTAAGAATGCAAGGCTTAGATAGAGGAATAAATCTTACCTTTACCAGTAATTTTGCCTTGTTGGGCCACTTGTAGTTGATGAACGCACCGATAGAAATGGGTATAATCAATAGCAACAGACTAAAACCTGGAAGTACATTTGCATTAGTTACTCTCGACTCATCCCATCCAAAGTAGAACCATTCGAAGCGTCCATCAATTAAAAAGGTACGTGTCAGAAATGATTAAGAATAATTCTTACTAATTTTTTCATATGGGATATTGATCTCGCTGATAACATCCCAGTGGCTCGTGTAGATCAACAGACACAGTGGGATCATCCCCATTGAGAAGAGTGTGGAACATACGGTCATACAAATGCTGTGGACAACCAAACATGTCATGGCTCAGTAGGAGTTTAACAATGTGCCAAAGCTGATCTGTGCATATTGTTATAGAGGCACATCAGATCATATCATAAAATAATAATAATCCTTGCATTTGATTTAGCCCCTTATCACTCTTCGAGATGTCACAAAGCGCCTTTGTGGAATATACTGTAAGGTGAATTTGCTGTGTGTTTTGTGGGCAAAACGCGGCAGCCAATTGCGCATAGCAGCGTCCCACAAAAAGTCGCGAATCGAGTGACAATTTATTATTCTTTTTAAAGGAATTATTACCACCGGAAAAGCAATCCGCCAATCGACTAACAATCGGGTTCCATTTACTGCTTGGTAAACAGAAGTGTTTTTGTGGTGTAAGGAAACTTGCCTAAGGCTTTACCCCGCCCGGCTGGGAATCAAACCCGGGGCCTCTCGCTTGCGAGGCGAGTGCTCTAATCACTACACCTCGGGACTAACATATTATAGGATGTGAGTTTTGAGAAACGGGCCAGAATCGCAGGTCATGTTACGATCGTGACCCCCCACCCCCCCCACCCCCAGCAACTGTCTGTCTTACCTGAGATCCATGTCGCCGTCAATCCAGAAGGTTGCAATGTTTGAGCCAAGCCCCCCAGGGCAGCTTCCTGTGAGCACCACTGCAAATGCAGCAGCTGTTTTCAGTTGGAATAGGAATGATAGCACAAACCCAATCAAAGGCATCAAGCCAAACTGACACACAAAGCCAACCAAGATCCCCCACGGCCTTTTAATGTGATTCCACATCTTGGTAAAGCTGACTGTGCAACCCATTGCAAGCATGATAAAGAAGAGCATTATTGTCATGATGGTTGTCACAACGAGGTCCAATTTGGTATTGGCTTGGTTCTTTGGGAGATCCTGTGAAGTGACATTACTGAGGGTTTCATTGTCTACGGCCATCTTTACGTCCGTCTGAGCACCTCTGGAATCTGCTTAAAGGAAAACATTTTAAGATAATAATGATAGAAATAATAATCCTTGCATTTAATATACAGTCGATTCACTTTACAGCATATTCTGTGAAGCGCTTTGAGACGTCTTGAAGACGTCTCAAAGCGCTTCACAGAATATGCTGTAAAGTGAATCGACTGTATATTTTGTGGGCAAAACTCTGATGGGACTTATTTACACTTAAGATTTAAAAGTATGACTGCTGCAAAAATATTTTGGTACAGTGCAGCCTGAAAGTCAAAGAAACTTGATAGTTTATGATATTAAATCTTAGTTGAAGGTTTGAATGTTGTACATCGACACACTATGACATTGGAAGACAATGTGCCTGTGGCTACCAGGATATTTTCTTCTGTAAATTCACATTTTCACTGGTGACACCATCTTGTGTAAATTAGCAAATGGGACATACTTATTTCTCAATTGCCAATAGTTCTCTGTGTTGCAGTAGAGAAGAGAATCAGTTCCCCTTTGGGAAATCCTTGCACAAATTTCCCACACAAATGATGGGCAAAGATCGCAACTGAGCTATCAGAGATCAGAGGCACAGACAGGGGGGGAATTTCTTTACATTTTCACCTATTTTTTGGGTGATCAACCGGGTGTCTGACATGTGCGGAAACCCATCACCATGCTTAAGAGTATCCAAATCAAGCGATTTCCTTACATCTCACCTACATGTGGAAATGCCAGAGATAGATTGTTGGAATAAAATGTTCGCACTCTCCTTGTGGGGCACAGCCGGCTTATTTAATTCTAACACATACTGCTTACCTAATTCTGATATTCCGTTGCCAAGCTAGCTACAAGCTGACATGCTTGTTGCTTCACCTACAAATCCGTCGTCACCATACTTTACAGAAGGTAGTGCCGTGAAGCACTTTGAGTTGTTTCGATGTTTATGAGCCCTTCAAAGCACTTCACGGAATATACTGTAAAGCGAATTGACTGTATATTTTGTGGGCGAAACGCGACAGCATCCTCACAAACAGTCATGGATTGAGAGACCAAATTATTATTTATTTATTTATTTATTTATTTGCTTATATATTTGGCTTTGCTTCTAGATGTTAAAGATCCCATCACACGACTTGAAAAGAAAAGTGAGTTTCTCCCGGTGTCATGGCTGCATCTGGTAAACCTCGTTTCTTTTGTTTACAGGCAATCGACTTGAATGACATAAATACTCTGAAACCAATTGTGGTATAACTCGAATGATCCAGATGTGAGCATTAGTGACAATTAATGACCTGTCCATATTCACAAGGGCGTTTAATGGGCGTAATTTTCTTCCGCATCTTGTCTCCTCCAAAAATAACTTTGCCAATAAAAATCTAAAGAAGAAAATCTCCCGTTACATTAAGAAAGGGGAAACAGATGGTGATACTTCCTCTTGACACAGGCTCAACATACTTCAGACACCCAAAAGATTTTTCTAACTTGCACGTTCCTATTTGTGGGGAGGGGGGAAAAAATAACAGAACAAATTTGGGAGGGCGGGAAGCATGAATAAAACAGGCTGAGTTCATCTACACTACAATACAAAGTACACTTTGATTACCATGCTGAGGGAAATGTCATTAGATGATACAATGCAATGCAAAATTACTTTTGTACAGCGCTGTTCACATTGGGAGGACGTCACAAGGCACTGGACAGCCAGGGGATTGGGTCTGAGCTGGGGGTGGGGGGAGAGTTGGGGTAAGGGAGATGTTAGGGTAAGAGAGGGATGGAGGGTAGGAGAGTGGCCAAAGGCACAGTCTAAGAGGAGGGATGTAGATAAATCAACTGTGTAGATTCAGAATCTTAAAATTTCATTCTGACAGGGATCTGCATATATTGTGAAATATTATCTGCATATCTGCCTTTGCTGGTGATAAGCGATAAGTGAGAAATCAGGTTTTGCCCATTAGAATTATAAATTGTGATTTTGAAGTTGTATTTGATGATACATTTAATTAGAGTTCTAGTGCTTGATATAGCATTTAAAGCAACTTGCATTTACATAGTGCCTTTTGCATGAGGGCGTATCTCAAAGCAGTTTACACAGATAACTGGGTGTTCGAGACGCAGGGGGAGCTAAAGAGCGGAGGATTGAAGACATCGTTTAAGATGGGTTACAATTTTGAAACGTAACTGAAGCACCCCAGGCCAGAATATAATACAAGACTGAAAAGCCTAAGTGAGGCTAACAAAGCTGTATTTAGGAGCAGCAGAACTATGTGAACGTCACGTTGGGACTTTGAGCTCACACAGTCCGAAAATGCAGCCCAATGTAGGGGTGCATTGTCGGAAACGCCATCCGACGGATCAGATGTTAAGTCTCTGTTATTTCAGATAGATGATAATAATAATAATAATAATCCTTGTGTATGATACAACGCCTTATCACATCTACGAGACGTCTCAAAGCGCTTCACGGAATATACTGTCAAGTGAATTGACTGTATATTTTGTGGACGAAACTCGGCAGACAACTGCGCGCAGCAGCGTCCCCACAAACAGTCGCGGGTTGAGTGACCAAATTATTATCATTTTTTTTGAAGGGATTATTACCCCCGGAAAAGCGATCCGCCAATTGACTAACAATCGGGTTCCTATTTAATGCTAGCTAAACAGAGGCTTGTGTGCGGAGTAAGGAAACTTGTGTAAGGTTTCACCCTTATACTAAACATATATTTAATATACTAAGTATACATCATATAATAAAGCGTATATTGTACAATTGGACATTTACTTCAGATTTTTCTAGCACATTATTACTATGAACCATAACACTATCACCCACCACTCTCGCCCGAATCCACTGGCTCCCCAATCCCTGGAGGATAGAGTTCAAAATCCTCGCCTTCAAAGCCCTTCCTCGGCCTCGCTCCTTCCTGTCCGACTGCACTTTGGGGCACCCCACACTTCAAAATGTAGAATTGCAGAATTGAGATTAAAAAAGAGTTGAATTACACCACTTACCAACCTGTTACTGCCCTCCTAGCCACCAGTAGTAAATGTTCCTGATTGCGATGTAAATTCAGGAAGTCACCACTTAACTCTATAAGTGCTTTAACCAACATTTTCATTGGTAAGTTAAGTCGTGAATCTTTACCACATTCAGGCACTTTGATGCAAGTTTCATCATCAAGCCACTTATTAACAGGAAGTTTCAACACTGGATATCTTTTCAAGTACACAGCTTTACAATTTCTTCTCATCAAATCATCAAACTGTTTCAAATAAATTAATTGTTTGCACAGCAACTATTAGTAAAGCAATTGTACTTGCATGATGTCTTGGTTATTTTTAGTGATCTCATTTTCCATTGTGTGGTTTTTGAAGCCTCCGCAAACCACAGCTTGCTACTGCTGTTGACTCTCTCGTTTCTTGGCGTGAGATCTGTTGAACTTATAACATTCGCATTTTCTTTAACTTTACCAATATTAATTTTAAAGCAGATACTCAGACTGAGAAGATTGAGAGAAACTGTGGGTGCTTTAAATGGAAGATGCACAGGAGAATGCTTAACATGGAAGGCCTGCAAATAATAATTAAATGAAATCTTTGCGTTTGATATATTGCATTGAACTATCTCATAAGAACATAAGAAATGCTAGACGAGAAAACGACCCAGGTCCATCTAGTTCGCCTTCGACCTTCCTGGCGGTCGCTTGCACGTATGACCCGAACTACCTATGCTTTTATATTCCATCATGTTATAATAATAATAATAATAATAATCCTTGCATTTGATATAGCGCTTTTCACGTCGGGAGGACGTCCCAAAGCGCTTCACAGAACACACTGTAAAGTGAATTGACTGTATATTTGTGGGCGAACGCGGCAGCCAATTGCGCACAGCAATGTCCCACAAACAGTCGTAGATTGAAAATGACCAATTTATTATTGTTTTTTCCTAAAAGAGAACAATCTAATCCGTGTTTTGAAGGAATCAACACTTCCTGCTTCAACCATTTCCAGAGGGAATCAGAAAAGTAGTTGGCAGAAATGTTGGCCTTGTTGTAGCTAGGGCTGATCACGGAATATCCCTTGATATTTACAGTGTGCCGGTAATTCACTGTTAGTATTCCATTTATGGTGTGGTAGCAGCCTCGCTCAGTTGGCAGCATTCTCACCCCTGAGTCAGAAGGTCATAAATTCAAACCCCAAAGTCAGGACTTAAATCTCACAGTTCAGGTTGACACTTCTGTGCAGTGCTCGGGGTGTGCTGCATTGTTGGAGATGCCAATTATTTATAATAATAATAATCCTTGCATTTGATATAGCATTTTCTCAAAGCGCTTCAGAGTTCATCCCGTAAAGTGAATTGACTGTAGCTTTTGTGGGCGAAACGCGGCAGCCAATTGCGCACAGCAGCGTCCCCACAAACGGTCGTGGATTGAGTAACCAAATTATTTTTATTTGTTAGTATCTGCTAAACAGCTAATAATATTGCTGGGAATTGGGTAAAAGAAAATGTGAGAAACGGTTGCGTGGATAACTTTCCAGCTTTTTAGCATTAATTTTAAAAAATTCAATGTGAGGATATTCAAGAGAAGTAGAAAATACTTCTGCTGCTCTCACCATTTCTTTATCACACCTTGAACCGCTAGTTTCAAGTTAGTTTATATGTGTTATATCTGAAGCAAAGTACTAAACTGAGCAAAGTGTTACATTTTCTATGAAAACCGTACATCCTGAAGTGAATATTTTTAACCACTTACTTTTATGACTGTTAGCAGGACATTGCTATCGCAAATTCGCTGCCAATTTTCTGTGTTGAGTTAACCACCTGAAAGGCGAGTGGAAACTGATTCGATAAAACTTTTAAGAGAGAAGTAGATAATTATTTCGGGAGGACAAGCTTGCAGGGCGATGGGGGGAGAGCGGGGGAGTGGGGTTGATTTGGGCAGCTCTTTTCAAAGAGCCAGCACAGACACGATGAGCCGAATGGCCTCCTTCTGTGCTGTATAATTCTATTATTCTATGATTGATCTTAATCAGTGTCAACAGGGCCACTCCAATTGACCTTGGTGATCTTGGGCTAGAGAAAGGAAAAATTAGATGGCAGCTTCTCTGCCCCCATCTTTTGGAAATCCACCCCACTTTCTCTTCGCCTCGCTCCCTCTCTTGCCTGCTTCAAAGTCCGTCTCAAGACCCTCCTCTTCGACCTCACATTTGGCCTCCTTCCTATCCCTACCCTCTCCCCCACTGATCCCAACCCCAAACTCGGGTCCAAATCCCTGTCTGTCCAGCGCCTTGGGACATCCTCCCAATGTGAAAAGCACTGTGTAGATGTAATTTGTTGTTGTTGTTTGTTATCGTGATCCACTGATGTCCAATGGAAATTGCATGGTTCTGGACATTAGCTGGATTGTGAAGCTCCCTCGATCACACATCACTTATACTTGCTATATCGTTGTGCCCTTCACGGTGTGGAAGGTGACATTAAAAGTACCATCAGCCTACAGAGGTTATACGACCCTGACAACGTGTATGGTTGGTTCACCTGATAGATAATTGAAGCACGTACACAGTGTTGCCACATAGCCTTATACAGTGGTCTTACTCAAGGTCTTTACACAAAGTCTTGGACATTCCAACCCTTTTCCAGACTAGAAGAGATGATTGTTCAAACCAGATGGTACCACTCTTCAGGGTCAGGTAAGACCACATGACTCTGATATGAGTATGTGAAATTATAACAGACAAAGGAAAACTTTTAATTGCTATGATTGGATGTGAAAAATGCTGCAGAATTGTCACGGGTCATGGTAAGAAACAATCATTGGTTGTAAAATGCCACATAATCTGTTAAGAAAAAGAATATAACCCTTTGTTTTTATACATTCTTTGGAAGTACCATTTTGGGTGACTTGGGAACCTGATTGGGTGCTTCCCCTTACCGGTAAGCTTGTAATAAAGCTTGTAATAAAGCTTGTAATAAAGCTTGTAATAAAACCTGTACTGATTACTGTTCATTGTTTGTGTGGTCTATGGTTTTTATTCCACGACAACGGCCTTGCCCCTTCCTACTTCAGCGTCCTGCTAACCCCTTATGAACCTATCCACCCCCTCCGCTCAGCAGGATCTGACCGCTCCACACCCCCCGCCTGGCCCGCCCTGCCCTCAGCAGTTGGGTCTTCAGCCTCTCCGCCCCCCCCACCACTCCATCCCACTTTCCTTTTGCCTCTCTCTCTCTCTTCCTTGTCTCCTTCAAGGCCCGTCTCAAGACCCACCCCTTCGACCATGCCTTCGGCCACTCTCCTCCCCTCCCTTGCCGCTCGGGTCCAAATCCCTTGGGACATCCTCCCGACGTGAAAGGCGACACACAGGTAATTTTGCATTGTGCATTAATGTTCTTCAGGGAAGGAAATGTGCTACCCTTATCCTTCTGGCCTACTCGTGACTCCGGTTCCACGCTTCGTGGTTGACCTAACGCCTTCTGAAACGACCTTATCTTCCACTCGGTCGTCTGAAAAACCCGAGAGTGAGGTTTCGCAAGAGCTTACAACTGGTGGACGAGCAGTAAACGCTGGTCCTTGTAAGGGTTGCCCACATCTTTTTTTAAAAAAAAAAAGGTGGTCACTCAATCCACGACGTGCTTGTGGGCACGCTGCCGTGCGCCATTGTTTGTCGCGTTTCTCCCCCACAAAAGCCCACAGTCACTACACTTTAGGGTTAAATCCCGGCGAAGCGCTTTTGAGATCCGGGTAGAGTCCTGTAGCTCAGTGGTTAGAGCACTCGCTTTGCAAGTGAGAGACCTGAGTTCAATTCCAGGCAGAGGGCGAAACCTTGGGCAAGTTTCCTTACTCCACACAGAGCCTAATAATAATCCCTCCAAAACCAAAAAATAATAATAAATTGGTCATTTTCAATCTACGACTGTTTGTGGGACATTGCTGTGCGCAATTGGCTGCCGCGTTCGCCCACAAATATACAGTCAATTCACTTTACAGTGTGTTCTGTGAAGCGCTTTGGGACGTCCTCCCGACGTGAAAAGCGCTATATCAAATGCAAGGATTATTATTATTATTAGAGGAGGAGTGGCATAGACGCGATAGGGCGCTGCGTCGAACGCAAGGATTCTTCTTCTTCTTCTTCTTCTAATAATAGTAATAATAACTTATCATCATCATCGTCCATTAAAATTCTAAAACAGCAAAAAAAAAAAAACGCCCAATTGGGCGTGAACCCGCCCAACCCGGTCGCATGGCCAGTGACTTTTGGGCGTTGAAGGCGTTTTTCCCGCCCCCCCACCCTCTGATCGGGCGCCCCCTCGCGGCGCCTGGGTGGGCGGGCAGCCTGCGACGTCATCGGGCGGCGAGGCGCAGGCGCGGACCCGAGCCCCGCCCCTCGGCTGTTCCCGGGATGGAGAGCAATGGCGGCAACAATGGCGGCGGCGGCGGCAACGCGGCGCTGAAGGCGAACGCCGAGGAGCAGAAGATGTCGTCGGCCAGGAAACGAGCCGAGCTCCGCAGGAGGAAACTGCTGCTCAACTCGGAGGATCGGCTGAACCGCATCATGGGCTTCAGCAAAAGCGAAGCGGGTGAGAGAGAGGGGGAGGGAGGGGGGGAGAGAAGGGGAGAGGGGGGAGGGGGGAAAGAGGGGGGAGGGGGGGAGAAGGGGAGAGGGGAGGGGGGGAGGGAAGAGGAGGGGAGGTGAGGGGGGAGGGGGGGCGTGAAGGTGAGGGGGGAGAGAAGAGGAGGGGGGGGAGAGGGGAGAGAAGGTGAGGGGAGGAGGGGGGAGAGAAGGGGAGGGGGAGAAGAGGGGGGGGGGTGGAAGAGGGAGGGGGGAGTGAAGGGGAGAGAGAGAGAGAGAGAGAGGGGGAGAGAAGAGGGGGGGGTGGAAGAGGGAGGGGGGAGTGAAGGGGAGAGAAGGAGAGGGGGAGAGAAGAGGGGGGGAAGAGGGAGGGGGGAGTGAAGGGGAGAGAAGGAGAGGGGGAGAGAAGAGGGGGGGGGAAGAGGGAGGGGGGCAGTGAAGGGGAGAGGGGGAGAGAAAGAGGGAGGGGGGAGAGAAAGGAAGACAGGGACTGGTGCTCGGGGTGCTTGGGGCCTGGCTCCTGGGGGCAGACTTGATCAAATCCAAGTGAGATCTGCCCATGTGAGGGAGTGGGACCGACAGATTGTCATGTCATTGAATATGAATGAACATATATGCAGTCAGTGGTGCTATTTCTTAAGGCAGAGGAAAGGCAGCTTTAATGGCATCTCAGCCCCTGCCCCATTCCTAAAGGAATGGATTTTTTTTTTAATGCACTTAATAATAATAACAATAATAATAATAATAAATGAGGACAAAGATTCCAAAGGTTTTATCTTATTTTTTTTTCTCTGAGAAAAGATTCCAGATTTTCCAGAGGCATTCAGCCTCTCGGCCCCCGCCCGTTGGAACTCCATCCCATAATCCCTCCGCCACCTTTACTCTCCTCTCCGACCTTGCCTTCAGTCACCCTCCTGCTCCGCCCTCCAACCCCCTCCTGATCCCAGCTACCGGCTCGGTGCGGATCCGTGACTGTCCAGTGGCTTGGAACGCCCTGACGTGAACGATGCCATACATTAGATACATTACGTACAAATGAAATTTGTTGTCGTTGGAACAGAATAAAAAAGGAGGCAGGGAGTGGGGTGGGGCCTTATAATAACCTTTGCTTTAGCTATAGCACCTTATCCTGTCTTCCAGATCTTTCAAAACGCTTCACAAACTATACTGTGAAGTGAATTGGCTGTATCGTGTAGGTAAAACGCGGCGGCCAATTGCGCACAGCAGTATCCCACAAACAGTCGTGGATTGAGTGACCAAATCATTATTGATTTCAGTTTTGTTACAAAGCTTTGATATGATCTTTGTTGTTGCTGGAAATTCGCTCAGTACACTACATACATGACTTGGAATTGGGCACGGCACTAATACAATCATGGTTGCCCCCAAACTGGTGGAAGTTGCAAATAACAGGGAGCAGATTGACCAAATACAGAGAGATCTGAATAGATTAGGGAGTTGGACAGGCAGATGTTGCATGTAATTTAAGATGAATAAATACGGAATTCCATATTGATTCAGTAAGTGGTACTTGGTGCTATTCTTAAGGCAGAGTAAAAGAATCATTAATTGCATCTAATCCATACTCTCCTTGGCTCCCAAGCCATACTTTGTCCCCGGTCAGCTCTATAAAGTGCTTTGAGATCTTCTTCTGAAAGGAAAGGCACTATACAAAATCGGTCAATCAATTAATGGTTGTTTTTGGTCCATTGCTCTGCAAATTGGCTGCCACCATTTGTCTACAAAACACAGTAAAATCTGTGAAGTGCTTTGAGATGATGTTATTATTCTTTGCTATCCGTGGTGATAATTTGAATTGAGAAGGTGTTCTATTTCTCTTGACTGCTATCCCTCAACTTTGTACATCAAAATTTCCCATCTCTCAAAATAAAACTGATCAAAGAGAAAGGATCAAAAGATAAAGGAAAATACAGCATATGCTGAAAATCTGAAATAAAAACAGAAGTCGTTGAGAACTCAAGTTCTGACAAAAGGTCATCGACCTGAAACGTTAACTCAATTTCCTCTCTGCATAGATGCTGCCTGACCTGCTGTGTGTGTTCCCAGCGACTTCTGTTTTTATTTAGGATCAAAATATATTTGAATGCACCTTGAAATGAATGGGAAATGTCATTTGAAAAGAGAAGAGAATTTCTCCTCGGGTCTTGGCCAGCCGTCCCCCAAGTAAAATTGTTCAGTCCCTTAATGGTTGTTTAAGGGACATTGCTGTATGCAAATTGACTGCCACATTCGCCTACAACATGCACAGTCATAGCACTTTACAGTAAAATCCTTTGAAGTGCTTTGAGATGATATGATAAGGGACTATACTAAATGCAAAAATTATTATTATTATTAATCGTAATACCATGCGATTACATGAGTAGTCACCTTTTCTGCGATCGTTTGTTTGTTTTCGTTCTGTTTCAGAAGATGAAAGCCAGGCGGACTCTCGAACACCTTATGAAGCTGAGAGGACTGAGTTGCTGCAAACCTCAAGCTTTCCCAAGAGAACCCCGGGGATTCTGAACGAAACCACCGATGGTACCATGGCGGCCAATCATTACACAAATGGAACGGAAGTGAAAAGGCCATACACTGGAGATATTAGAGACTCCTTTAGCAAAACTCACGAGGCAGTTAATGACTTGGCCACGGGAAGCAGCAGTGACCATCGATACTCAAGTCGACCAGATGTCCCTGTAGAGCAGGCACAGCAGCAGCAGCCAGCCCGCCGGGGCTTTGAGCAGTATCTATCGCGGTTTGACGAAGCCATGAAATTGAGAAATCAGCTGATGAGTGAGAAGTCCAGTCAGGAGAATGGAGGCAGGGGTGAGGAGCTGGGCACATTCCACGTTTTCCGTTTAGTGGGGAGCGCTCTGCTGGCTGTCATGGTCCGAATCTTTGCATGTAAATATCTGGTGAGTTCTTGCTGCTATTCTAGAATTGAAATTACTTTGTCCTGAAGTTTTGTGCATTTTGAAACGGTAAGTTCAGCAAATATAAACGATTGTGAGTAAGGCTGGAAACTAGGCATTCAGAGCCAGACCCTGCTTTTATAGTGAGGAAATCTACGTGTGAAACATTGAAGTCACATTTTCTTATCCCAAGAAGAATTGAGTTTCCAGAATGTTTAGCTGCAGGTACCTTGTCTCAAAACCTTCCATCTGTTTTGGGGGATAGCTTTAGAGAATCAGCTTGGATGACGTGTTAAATTCGGGTCCTGTCTGCCTGTTCACGTGGATCTTGAAGAATCGTAGAATCATAGAATTGTACAGCACAAAAAGAGGCCATTTGGCCCATCGAGTCTGTGCCGGCTCTTTGAATAGAGCAATTAATATCAATCCCACTTCCCAGCCCTTTCCCTATAGCCCTGCAAACTCGTCCTCCTCAAATACCCATCCACCGCGTTTAAAAGTAGTTATCGAATCGGCCTCGACTGCCCTTTCAAAGTGACAGCCCATAGGACATTGATGTGCACAATTGTTTGTTGTGTAATCTACTGGTACACAGTCAATACACTTTACAGAAAGCTCTACATCAAATGCAAGGATTGTTTTGATAAGGACTATCATTTTTCAAACTTAGTTATGTCAGGAGCCTGGAGAGTAGTGAGTGTAACACCTCTGTTTCAAAAAAAAAAGAAAATGGGATGAGCCAAGTAATTGTCGATCAGTCAAACATTCATAATGGGCATACTTTTAGAGGCTATAATACAGGATAATTTTGCCCACAAAATACAGTAAATCCACCTTACAGTATATCCTGTAAACTGCTTTGAGACGGCTCGACAACCTGATAAGGCTCTATATCAAATGCCTTTGATATCAATATATCAATATCAGAATTATTATTAATATAATAACCACTTGGAAAAACGCAGGTTGATTAATGACAGGCAGCAAGGATTTGTTAAAGGTCAGCCTTGCCTGACAAATCTAATTGTTTTTTTTACAAAACAATCCAAGAAAAGATGACAGTAAAGTTGTGCATGTGGTCTATATGGATTTTCAGAAGGCTTTGGTTAAGGTGCTGTAAAGGGAGCGCAAGGAATTAATGGAAAGCTAACAGCATGGATGGAAAATTTAATTAAAGCGTAGGAAACCGAGGGTGGAGTACAGGGAGTTATTTGTAATGGAGAGGTGTAAATAGTGATGTATTCCAGGGTGAGTGTTAGGACCACCATTGTTTTTTTTTCATTTTTTATATAAATGATCTGGATTCTGATATAAGGGGCACAATTTCTAAATTTGCACATATCACAAAAATAGATTGCAGTCATTTTCAATGGCTGATGATGAGTTAATGACTAGAGTTCATCTGGAGGTTAGCAACGAGCAAATGAGAAGTTTAGGAGATTTTTTTCCACTCCAGAGAGGTTAAGTTATGCAATGCCCTGCTGCTTTCAGAAGGGATCTAGATAAAGACCTAAAAGGAATGAAATCACAAGGCTACGGGGAAAGGACAAGCAAGTGAGGCTGAAACCATTGGTCTTAAAAGAGCAAAGCGCAGACAAGATGAGCCGAATGGCCTTCTTTTATGCTGCAAATGACAAAAAATAATTCCGCTAAATTGCTGCAGTTTCTATTGACTGCCAATAGATGGCTCGATCCACTTAGTAATTCTTCTTACGTGTGTATTGTAATCATCACGTCCATTAGGGGTGCTGGTGGAAATGTAAAGGAGCATCTTTGCCAAAGTTACTGGCATTTCTGGAGTCAGTATGTTGCAATCGCGAGTGAGTAACAAGAAAAGTAAAGAACTGGAAGGGTGAGAAGGGGAACTAAAAGGAATGAAACAGAACAAACCAAAAAAAAGAGAGAAGAGAAACACAGCAATTAATAATACTAATAATAATCCTTGCCTTTGATATATTGCCTCATCATGTCTTTCAAGACATCTCAAAGCGCTTCAGAGCATATACTGTACAGTGCAGTGACACTATATTTTGTGGGCAGTTAAAACTGACCTGACAGAACACAAGTGATCAATATTTTATTACAACCTGAAATTGTGCTGTGCAGCAGAATGTAAAGTCATTGAAACCAATAATGTAGATTCATTCTCCGAGAGACCAGTGAATCGATTTAGCTTCTGCGTCAGCTGTGGTTCGTAATTGATCCGCGCTGGAGCAACCTCAAAATATATTTTATTTGTTTTATTTTTTCATTTAAAATAATTGACCCTGAAGGGTTTCTGTCACCATCATTAGGACCAGTTCTTTGGGATTTCATCCTGATTGATCACTTCTATTTTCTTCTCTCTGCAGTCAATTTTTGCTCCATTTCTGACACTTCAACTTGCATATATGGGATTGTCGAAATATTTTCCAAAGGTAAGATTTCTGGCTTTGATCTATACTCCAGGTCGCCCTTGATCAACCAACTTAAAATATAAAGTATGGGACAAGAAGATGCTATTCAACTAACTCATACTTCTTCCAACAGATCTGTTATGATTTATAACGTTAAAACCTCTCTTAATTTCTTTCATTCTTCTGAAGGGCCTTTAGTTAACTGTGGAGTCCTGCAGCTCAGTGGTTAGTATACTTGCCTTGCAAGCGAGAGCCCTGGGTTCAATTCCCGTCAGGGTGAAATGTTGGGCAAGTTTCCTGACTCCACACGCCTCTGTTTACCTAGCAGTAAGTAGGAACCCAGTGGTGGATTGCTGTTATGGGGGTAATGATTCCTTCAAAATAAATTTAAAAAAATGTAGACACTCAATCCACAACTGTTTGTGGGACACTGCTGTGCGCAGTTGGCTGCAGCATTTTGCTCACAAATTATAAATTCAATTCACTTTACAGTATATTCTGTGAAGCACTTTGAGTAGAAAGGGCAAACATTTCTTCCCAAATCACAGTCAGGCGTTTGGTGACAGGCAAACATTTCGCTTCTTGGCTGAGGAGGGATGTGTCGAAGAGGGACACAGAATAGAAATAGAGTGAAAAATAAAACAGCTTTATTGGAAATAAAAACAAACAGAACTACTTTCAAACAGCTGTAACTGGACAGACACCAGGTTTGGTTATTGTAACTCACTTTTTAATGTACGTTTCACCCACAAAATACACAGTCACTACACTATTTCATATGTGAAATGCTTTGAAACATCTTGAAGGCATGATAAGGTGCTATATCAAATGTAAGCATTATTATTATCACTTGGTTGGGGAGGGGAGGAGAGAGCTCAATTGGTTCTGTTTTTGTACATTAGAAAGTTTGAAAAAATTTCTGAAACTTGTGGTTAAATGTTTTCGAAAGTATTGTGGATCCTTGAAAATTGTGGATTAAGTCTGACCAAATATAGGGTTTTATCCTTGCCTTCGAGATGCAATTCATCTTCCTCGCGGGCTGTGAAGTGAGTGCCTCTTACCCGCGGACTGGACTGGGAGCAAAAAATCATCCTGATAAAGGAGCAAAGTTAAAAGAGCAGTTAGTTGAGTGTGCTCATCGGTTGAAGTGACCCAAAACGATCCTCTTCTGTTGTGATTTGAAATCGGGTCTCGAGAGAAGATGTGGGGTGAAAAATAAACTAATTCTACGCCTCTTGTGTTGATCAGAGCGAAAAGAAGGTAAAAACCACACTGTTGACTGCTGCACTGCTTCTGTCTGGAATTCCTGCGGAAGTTATCAATCGCTCCATGGATACGTACGGCAAAATGGGAGACGTGTTTGCCGACCTCTGCGTCTATTTCTTCACCTTTATTTTCTGTCATGAAATTCTTGTCCTTTTTGCTATTGATTTGCCCTGACGTCGTTAAGGGGTCAGGCAGGGGGAACAAGGAGAGGGTTTGTTTCAACTCCATTTGCAGCTGCCACCAATGTCTGCCGTTGTAAGCCATCACTGTGCTTTCAAGCAGACACTGGATCTATCTGTCTGGGTCAGGCTACTAATCCTCATTCAGAATCCCATTCGCACTCTCCAGAGAGAGCTATTTAAAATAAGAAACTAATATTAATATTAAAAAGCGTCATGTTATAAGCTTAGACACTAATTATTTGGGCAGTGCAAACAGAATTAGATTCTGGACTTCTGTTTCTTACTTACTGAGGGGTAGTTATTTCCGAATGAGCATTTTTAAATTCAACAACGGAGTTTGTCAAGGAACAGATTAAAAGCTATAGTCCACCCCCTTGGAGAACCATGTGTTCTAACTAAACTTAAAATAAAAGGTCACTTCAATCCACGCCTGTTTGTGGGACGCTGCTGTGCGCAATTGGCTGCCGCGTTTTGCCCACAAATATAGTCAATTCACTTTATGGTATATTCTGTGAAGCGCTTTGAGACGTCTAGAAGACGTGAAAAGCGCTGTATCAAATGCAAGGATTATTAATATAGTATAGAGAAAGAATCCAGTGTGTGTGTCTATTTACTGTGTATGTAATGAATATGTTTGTTAGAAGCTTTACATAGTACAAAGATACTGCAACTTCATTGATTTGAGAGCAGAAATGTAACTAGGAAGCTGCCCGAGTGTATACATTATCTTTTTAAATGCTGAGATTGACTACTTGATAGCCTACTTATCTTCCATCTATTGGTACTTGTCTGGGGCCATGTTTTACTGGAAAGAATCAACTGACCAGCCTTTTTACTTTGTTACACAATGTACTTTAATTATTTGAGTCGTGTATCTTATTTATATGAGTATTTGTAGACACTTGTTGGATATGTGTCTTGTGTTTCTGTAAGTTGGTGTTCCCATTAAAGAGCAGAGTGAACATTTTCATTGTGCAATTCTAATGTCATTAAAAGGTAAGTGGATAACACGTTTAGAAGTTTAGCCTGATTATTGTGTCTGTGTATTAATCTCTGTAGCCAAAGGTTAATTAATTGAAGAAACGAGACGTAGTTTCACCCAGATTTAGTCAGCTGGATTTTTGACACCTGCAGAAATCCATCTCCGTGCTTAAGAGCTATGCGTGGAAATTTCCTTGTGTCTAGAATGGAAGGTGTACTCCCTCCCTGAGGATGCATCAAGCACTCCGGGACGCTAGGACGTAAAGGGCGCTATATAAATGCAAGTTGTTATTGCTTACTTAATTCAGGAATGTGTTGTTGGTAGATTGGCGAGGACCAAAGACTTGGGATCAACAGAGTGTCCATTGGGGTACTGCTTGAGTTGAATCAACTGTATAGTTTGCCATTGAGGGTCCTGTCTGTCTGGCAAGATTCCAGCTGCTTGTTTCACCAGGACTCCCTGCCTCTTCGAGGTTTGGCTAGCAGCATTTACAGGAGCTGAGTGAGCAGAATCAACTCAGTAATGGAGATTGCCGAAGGAAAAACGTAGACAACGTGCAAGCCTTACTCCTCGGCCTCCCCCTTCGTCACCTTCCCCCCCACTCTTGGCTCAGCGTCGCGTTCCGCCACTGTCGAGCGCTCTGGGACGCTACCCTGCGTGAGTTTTTGGTCTGGAAGTGGCTGAAAGCACGGCCGCCGATGGTGGAGAGGAGGTGTTAAGGGATGTGCAGGAGGTTGGTTATTCCTATACAAGTATAGGTTCGGCTTGGAGAAAAATGAGTGAAAGTTGCACCAAAAAAAGGTCTTGAACCTTCTTGGAACGATGTGCCTCTTATCGATAAATAGTACTGTATTAAATAGAATTATTTTCCTTGATGTGACGAGCATGTTGCCAGAGGAGTCCTCAGCAACTGTTTCAACACTCTTTCATGCGGCACTTTGGAGACGAGTGAGTACAAGCAAGTGGCCAAATGTGTGAGTGGATGACTAGAATAATTGGGTTATTTGTTGAGTGACTGAGTGAATGTTGGGCCTGACAGAGTGGTTGGGAGTGTTTTTAAGAGTGCACAGCCAGAGATACTCATTGCAGAAATCACAGTGTATTTCAATAGAGGGGAGAATTTGCAGTTCTGTGATGCTAGTACGTGAGACTTGCAATGGATTTTGATTATGTTCTATGAAACTCAGTGATTTTTACAAAAAGGGAGAGAATTATTTTAAATGTGCTGTAGTGTAAAATTAAAAATCCTGCTTTATTTCAGAGGGTTTGCATTCTGTCACTTTACTCATCAAATTATATAGTTGACAATGACCATTATAAGCCCACTTATAATAATAATCCCTGCATTTGATATAGCGCCTTATCACATCTTTGAGACGTCTCAAAGCGCTTCACAGAATACACTGTAAAGTGAATTGACTAGATTTTGTGGGAGAAACGAGGCAGCTAATTGCGCACAGCAGCGTCCCACAAACAGTCGTGGATTGACTGACCAAATTATTTTAAATTATTTTGAAGGCATTATTACCCCCCCGGAAAATCGACTTAACAACCGGTTTAGGTTAGGCGTGCGGAGTAAGGAAACTTGCCCAACGTTTCGCCCTGCCGGGATTCAAGCCCAAGTGCTCAATTTAGAATAATGTAAGAAAGTTCCTATTCATAATTTTTTGTAGGATCATGCAATCCAGTACGTTGTCAGTCATCTGCATGTCAGTTATACTTATCTTCAGTATTTAAGAGGCAGCTGTAATTGACAGAAGGTTCAGAGATTCTGATGTTGAGACTCTTCTTTTCACCCTTTTCCTCTCATGGAGTTGGTCACCTGCTGAGGTCCACTTCGCGAGTGTTTATTGCTCTCCTCACCAGGTGTTGCTTGTCCTTCATTTAGCTGTTTCGCCAAACCAAAACCCATGCACAGGACTTGTTCTTTTAATGGGGTTCCTCCTAAAATTGAGCCACTGGTTTCTGAAGAGGGAATTTAGGGGATAGGGAAACAATAGCAGCACATTTCTTTTTGATAGAAACTTTGCCAAAGTTTCAAGATAGTTTTTTGTGCAAAATAAAAGGAAATTCACAGAAGCAGTGTTTTTTTCCCCTCTTCGACCATGTAGCAATTCTAAATCATAAAATTTACAGCAACAAATTATATATCTGTATATCTGCTGAAACAATATATTAACAGTTTCTGGGACACCAAACCTACTCAGTCTAATCATCAAGGTAAATGTATTTATTTTGCTTTCAGTTAGATTGAGTGTATTTTACAAATGGTAACATGTCACTGTAAGGCAGTGACAACACTATAATTTGACCTCAAGGTTGAAATGACATCTGTGAAACCCATAGTCCGAACCCCATGATTAAATTATAGACTCTGTCCTCGCACAAAGATTATTCTACATTAACAGAATGTCCAGTTAGTGACGAACAGTAGCACACATGTTACTTGTTGCTTCTAGACAACATTTTTATTGTCCACTCTTGTTCAACTAAAAAGCATTCAGCACAAACACTTAAAAACAGGTCAAATTTGACTCTAGTCTAATTCTTTTTCGTGGAAAGAAATCTTATTTGGAGAGGACAGCAAACATGCAAAACAAGTCTTACATTTTACATCCACTTTTTGAGATTGTACAATTTAAATTCTAGCCTTATGTAAATAGATAAGGAATATTGTGCCTCAACACTAAGTTTAGGCTGTTGCCTGCTCATTTTTTATCCACTTGGATGTCTTGTTCATTGAAAGATTGGTAGCTTTCAGATTTTCCTTTTATGCGTGTTTTGACATGTAGCACTTCTTTTAAACTTGGGAGTTTCTTCAGTAATCATTGGCTTTAAAGAGAGCCCAAGGAAACTCCAGGCAATTGATCAGGAACTTATCTCAGGGCTGCCAGTTGCATTTAATATAAACATCACATCACAGAGGTAGCTGTTGGAAATCGGAAAGAGCATATGTTAATTGCAGAAAACATCCTGAAACGAACGATCTGCTAACGATGGACGGAATGTGAACCTGATCCAAATTTATCCAGATGGGACAACAGCAGCAGCTTGCATTTCATTTCCTCCAAAACAAACCTAGCAAAATAGCAGGCTTATCACAGAGAGCAGAGATTACCTTTCTAGAGCATGCGGAATACTGATCGTGACATTGTAAGTGAAGATGATTATTCTGTCTACTCAACATGTCGAATTAATGGGTTGTGTCTGACGTGTGTTAAAGAGAGAATGTCTCTGCGTTTGAGTCCAGTTTTAGTATGCAGGTACCAAACAGACAGATGCTTCTGCAATGAACCACAATAAATTAAACGAAACATGAAAACAAAGGACCATTTGAACTCGGGGACAAACCGCGTTTTACAGTTTGCCTGTAAGTGTCAGTGCTAAGTTCGGGTATAATGGATAGTGATCAGAAGAGCCAACTGTCACTAATTTCCACCCTCCCACCACCCTAATCCCAGCCTTTACTAACATACGTTTGTACTCACAATTTCCTCTTCCCTCAATCCCTCTGCCTTTCCCCCCACCGCTCCCTCCCCACTTTCAAATCCTGCCTAAAGACCTTCCTTTTTGATGGTGCTTATGGTTCACCTTCCCCCCCCTCCCTCTTGGGGTCAGACCTCACCACTGTCATGCGCTCCGGGACCCTTCCCCACATGAAGGACGCTATATAAATTCAAGTTGTTATAACGTTTGTGTCACTTACTGTGAATTTGGACTATTCTGGGCGAGGTGATGACTGATTGTTTTCTGGAGACGAGGGACCTGCAGCTTTCCATTGAACTCAGACGCACACTGATGCTATTCTCTCTCCTGAAGATGTCAGAGTCACTGTGGGTTGAAAGGTTATCTCTGTACATGTGAGGGCAGCACCTGGATGGATTGAAACGGATGCAGAGTCGCTGCAAATCAGCCTGTGGATAAATACAGAGCATTACTTGAAGCCATCAGTTATTATCATCATCAGTTATTGAAGGTGCACAGAAATTACTGTTGTACTCCGGAATTTGACTTCTATGTCTGCTTTATTTAATACAAATAAAAAACCCAGGTCCCTTGTAAGGGATTGTACATAATAAAGGTAATCGCAGCCCGTTATCGGTTCCTGTAGGTTATCCAAGCTGCTTAAATAAAGACCTGCCTTGTGGAGGAAGGTTTGAGACTTTAAGATTCCAGTAATCATGAATTCTCCCACCTGGGTAGCAGGGCAGGACAACTCCAGCAAATAACATTACTAATCTGAACCCATTGAAACAGATTCTAATAGGTTGATTAGTCTGTGGACACTATGATTTGTCACCACTTAAAGGAAACCTCAGTGTTAAATAAGTTCAAAGAATTACCCTGACTTTCACCATCTGCATTCAGACTTCTTATTTTCTTCACAGGGATCTGAGTAAAGGAGACACCCACTGGAAGTGACAGACGTGGTAACGCGCTATATCAAATGCAAGTATTATTATTATAGACCACTTGTTCCTTTACAGGGTACCTGCTGAACAGTATTAAATCCTGATTCCATCCTGCTTTTGTCTCACTTTTGGATCTTTGTGTTGCTTTCCGACTGCTCTTAAGGATTAAATTTTTTTTCCCACAACTAACACTTCATGCTGGGTCATGTCTAGGTTATTTATTTATTCTCAAGAATTTTGTTGACTCGCTTCTTGTTCCTCTATTCCCTGTTCCTCTTGTAGAATGGACCCAGTTTGGTCTCATTTCCCACTCTTTTTCCCTTCCTCACATTAACCTTACTCAATGCTTCCTCCCTCTTTCCCTGCTTTTTCTACCTTGACCAGAATCCATTCTTTCCCTGACTGTCTCTTGGTCTTTCCAAGCGCTCACCTCGCAAGCGAGAGACCTGGGTTCGATTCCCGGGCAGAGAGAAACCTTAGGCAAGTTTCCCTACTCCACACGTCTCTGTTTACCTAACAGTAAGTAGGAACCTGCTTGTTAGTCGATTAATTTGGTCACTCAATCTATGACTTTGTGAGACACTGCTGTGCGCAAATGTTTGCTGCGTTTCGCCCACAGTCGACTACGCTTTACAGTACATTCTATGAAGCGCTTTGAGACATCTCGTCGATGTGATAAGACGCTATATCAAATGCGAGGAATATTAGATATTATTTGCTGATCATTACTATTTCACACTGCGCACAGCCATTGGTTGTAAAGGGAAACGTGGAAATTTTCGACTCACTCGGAAATTGTCGTTGTAGAATCCGTAAATAAGTGGGTTCCAGAAGCTGTGTGACATGGCCAGGTAGTGAGAGAAGAAGTACAGGGCTGTGATATCCATGGGGTCATTCGGCAACACATCTGGGTTGAATTCGTACGTAACACTGAAGATGTGAAACGGTAGCCAGCAAAGCGCGAAGACAGCCACAATGATAAACAGCATTTTAATAACCTGAAAGGGGAATCATAGGATTATACAGCACAGAAGGAGGCCATCCGGCCCATCGTATCCGTGCCGGTTCTTTGGAAAGAGCTATCCAAATTGGTCCCACTGCCCCGCTGTCTCCCCATAGCCCTGCAAATTTGTCCTCCCCAAATATCGCTCTACTTCTCTCTCGAAAGTTGTTATCGAATCGGCTTCCGCCACCGTTTCGGGCAGTGCGTCCCAGATCCGAACAACTCGGGGACTTATCGCAAATTGTCGGAAACGGATCACGTCGCAATGTCGATTCAAATTATCGGGGGTTAAACTAATCAGTCTCCTCCCTCAGGGAAGCCACGGGATGCGTGGATGGATGTGGCAAATGGAACCACAGTGTCTAGCAAATTGACCGAATTAACAGAAAACTTATCAGCGGCAGGGCAGTGGAGAAGACTTTACCATTAAAGCACCATTGGTTTACTGAACTGAGAAAGCTAAGCTAAGAAATAAGGCACATTGAACATAATGTTTCACTTGGTCTGAATTGTAAAAATTCTGCCTCTACCTTTCGCTTTGACTTGTCCTGTTGAGCTTCTCTGTTTTTGTCCACGTTGCCTGGTGGCTTTCGACCCCACAACTTCATGCCCACGTTCCAATACGTAATGGTCAGGATCAATAAGGGTAATACATAAGTAACAAGCAATAGGAAGAGAGTGTAGACTTCATGGTAGGTACTGTTAGGCCAACCAATCTCCAAGCAGATCACCTCAGCCTCGCTGTCCACAGGTTTTGTCTGGCTCACAAAACAGAATGAATTTTGAAAAACTCACTTCCACAATATTTCGTAGCAAAAGCATTTGAATCCGTGCAAAGGTTTGAATTATTCACTTCTCTTAATTTTTTAAAAAATGTTCTGTTCACCGAGTGTGAGTGAATCTTTCGAATGTTCACTTTGGAACAACGTAAGGACATAACCTGTCGTAAGCAGGCGTTAAAAAAAATCTGTTACACTTAGTAAAAAGAACAGAATAATTCACCAAGTTATTTTTAGTGGATAATTTCCAAGTCTTTCAATGACCATTTGGTCATTACAGTGAAACAACGCAGGGGTGCAATTGAGATTCTTCAACACTCAGACCTCACTAACAAGGAAAACAACTCAATGATGTCTTGGTCGATGCCTCTATTGTTAATTAATCTCTGTTCCTTAATCGCGCTCTGTCCATACAGACCCTCAGGTAAATCATGTCTCGTAGGACAATAGATGAGGCAAACTGGATGTGGGCAACTCTTAGAGACAGTCAAGGCATTGAGTTAGGCATTGACACGAACAATATACATTTTTTCACTCAGCCGTCACCTTCTCATTGACACCTCACGTTCATTTCACCACACACAGGCCTGGAATCAACTTGACTGCTATTGAATTACTTCCAAGCCGTGAAGCTAACAAGAATCACTGCACAACAAGTTCCCAATCACTGCACAACAAGTTCCGACTTCTAAAGAGAAGATCATTAGAGTGGAATCCTGCAGCCATGATATCCATTTGTATTAGGAGGTGGCAGATGGTGCAGCGTGACTTGGATTCTAGCTTCGCAGTGATTTATGCAATATCACAGAATCTAATGTACACACTGCAAAGACTAACACTCCAAGAATGTGCCAAGCCTTATGTTTTTAGAAACTTCCAAGGTTGTTCAGCTTTGAGAGGATCATCTAAACTCAAATTGTTTGGGGAAGATTCCAGTTGTTTGGGTACCAGTGGGTGCAGGTTCAAGAGCTGTCTTACACCAGCAATCTATAGTCCATCAAAGTCAAATGGAAGATTAATCCGTATTACTTTTTGGCCTCGTTAGTGGGACTTTGATGACTATATTTAAAAATATGAGAAATATGTGGCTCACAAAGTTTCTTGTGTCTGCACTTATGTGGAGTATAAACACCAGCATGGACGAGTTGGGCTGAATGGCCTGTTTCTGTGCTGCACAATCTGTAAATCTATGATGGTTCTGGGCACAGTCGACTGGGACACCACTGCAGAATCCATACACCCAAAACATTTGTTTCACAAAACCATTTGAAACAGTTAAGTGATTGAGATGAGCCTTCTCCACAGTCACACTCACCCTTGTTACTACTAACTGCGCAGATGCAATGCCACATGATATCATCCAAATGACAGCAATTAAGATCTTGCTGTGCGATCGACCCATCCGAGACTTCAAGGGATGACAAACGGCATAGTATCGGTCAACGCCGATAGTCATTAGGGTGTATATACTCACAGACACCGACAGGATCTAGGAATAAAACGTAAAAGGTTAAAAATAACTCAATTAAATCAAGAGCTGCAGCTGGAAAAAAAGTTTTGCAATTAATTCTGGCAGAGAAATGATAGAATATGTAAGCAATTGTCGTACCCAGTGACGCAAAGTATGTTTTATACAGAAATGTGTCGAGGGTTATTATAATCTAATGCCGAACAGTGTCTAAACCGTTGAGCTCTCGTAGAAGTAAAAATGGATGGGAGTGATATCTGGCAAATTCATGTTCACCCTTTGACAACTGAATCCCATAACTATTGCCTTCTCCTCCCAATACTCTCAGGCAACCATTAGACTCTATTTTATGAACACTCCATGTGGTTCCTAAAACCCTGGCAATGGAATTAAAAATGAGGAAAACAGAGCTGTCCACACAATTAACTGCATTATGTCATCTGTACAATGGCAATGACATTCAGGTCTGACGTGAACTCCAATCAATTGCCAACATTGTTACTTTAACAAGACAAAAATTAACTCACAATATATCTTTGTTTCAGCCAGAATTGGCCAACCTCAGCTTGATTGAAACTTGGAACTAATGGTGGAACTTTTAACTCATTTTTGTTGTGGTCGGGCCTTCATCCCACAGTCCCTTCGCCTCACTGCCTCCCTTGCCTCCTTTAAGGCAAGTTTCAAGACCCTCCTTTTAGACTGTGCCTCCGGTCACCCTCCTACCTCTACCCTCACGCCCTCCACCCCTCCTGATCCAAACCCAACAGCTCGGATCCAAATCCCTGACTGTCCAGCACCTTGGGACGTCCTCCTGAAATGAAAGGCGCCGTGTAAATGAAATTTGGTGGTGTTGTTTTTCTGGTCGAAAGAAATTGTCGTTTGTGATACTTTGGGCGACTGGTGAGAGGCGGTTTCCTTCCATTCCTATATTGATACCAGCCTAGATAACGGAGATGGAGTGGATTATAGTTATACTGGGGGTAGGGAGGTAACTGGTAAATTTTATTCAAGTCTTGTAATCAACTGTTTCCTCACAGAGATGCATTTCCTATTCCTTCTCTATAAGTTGGCTCAGTGTTTGGTTCGGCCCAATTGACTGAAGAGCCTCCTTCAAGAAGCTGAAGATTTTTTTTTCGTTTAAATTCTCCTGTCAGTATCAGTGTCAGTGTAAATCCCTCTCAGTGTCTCTCGCTCCTTGAGGAAAGGAAGTTCATTTTTATTCATCAAGTCTGATCACTGGTCCTTAAGTCAGTTACATATTTATACTGACTACATCCCACCCAGTTTAAGATTTCTAAGGTACGGAGTTACATACAATTAGATTTAAAACAAACACCCAAAGTCTAATAGCTCTTGAGTGCAGTCGCCAGACAATCTAGATGAGTTTTTCTGTTGCTGCAAATTTCAATTTCAAAGTGATTGTGGAGAGGAAATGGATCAACCAAGTAAGTGGATATTAAGTCAGCATCATATTCAACCATTTCTCCAGGTTCTAGTTTTGGAAATGCGTGGGCTGATCCAGAGGAAAAAAAACAAAATCTTTTAAGAACAAATAAGAAATAAAGTAAGGAAGAAATAGGTGACAATGTAAGTATAAAGTGCTCTCAGTGTGCTTATTGTACTATTGATCATTACAAATCTCCTCTAACTTTAATGACCGTTTCTTAGAAGGAAGAATGACTGAAGTTGTCAGTTCGGGGAACCTGGAACGGTTATTACTGTGAAACGTGGCAACCAATTGTGCACAGCAGTGTCCCACAAACACTCGTGGAATGAAGTGACCAGTTTATATTATTATTATTTTTTTTTTGAAGGAACTGACACTGACTGAGCCTTGGTGTGCTTGCCACCATGGGAATGGTTTCACAGCTGTGTCAGTCTGAGTCTTGCTCATTGTGCACTTCGCTAACTCATATGGGTTTTGCTTTATTTTCATTCCCTAACCCACGGATTCTGAACTGGTGCCCTGTGTGAGAGCGGCTAATTCACAGTCCAGGAGTTATTTCGCAGACCGGAGGGAGCCAAAAAAAAACCACTTACTTGTGCGAAACGAACCAAAGGACAGAGGAATTCACCAAAGAGCCACTTCTGAAGGAGAGCCTCTGTGAAAGTCAGAGGAATACAGAAAATGGCCATAGTCAAGTCAGCCACAGCCAGGTTGATGAGAAAGTCGGTGATGTCCGTTCTGGTTCTGCAGCCCAAGGTCAGAACCCAAATGACCAGCACGTTCCCACTCAAGGAGAGGACGGTAGCCATAGCATACATAATGATGATGACATAGTGAGCAGCGGCTGGGATGATTAAGTGGGTCTCGTTTCGGGTGGCCTGTGAGATGTTGAAGAGCTCCATTTGGTGCTGGTGAAATCGACTTGTTTGCTTTATCAGAGCATCCCCCCAACGCCTCGTACAAACAAGCAGGTTTCTCTTTACCTTTTTTCTGTGCCTCTTCTTCTGTAATGACAGGTGGTCAGCTAATTCTCAGCTTGCCTGCGGAAATTTAAATTTAAAGCCAATTGACTCACAAAGCAATGAAAGCAACGGATGCATCCGTTACCTTCGAAGAAAAAAACACGGCAACACGCTCAGAGTGTGAGAATAAGAACTGATCATGTGCCTCACCTCTTCACAGCGCGTTTACAATTTGATCTGTTCTGGTCTCCACTGAATTTCCTCTTTACATCTAAGCTATCCACATCTCTCAGCGATACGACTCCACAGCCTGTGTCCTTTCCTGCACCAGACTCTGCGAGCTCATCGCCCAAATGATTTCTCAGCTCCACTGGCTTCCCTATATCCCAGCAAAACAACTTTATTATATTTTTCCTTAGCTTTAAATACCTCCATGGCCTTGCCCACCAATCATCTCCTCCTCCCTCAAGCACTCTCTCTGTTTATTCAACTGCTGTATGCCTCTTGCTCACTCCACCCCACTTTACCCTCATCTTCTGGAACCCTTTTCTCAAATCCCTCCACCTCGTCCCCTCCCTTTTGACTTTCAAAACCATTCTAAAAGCCTATCTCTATATATGTGGCAGTAAGTAGGATCACTTTTCCGGGGGTAATAATCCCTTTAATAAAAAATGAAATAAAAATTATAATAATTTGGTCGCTCAATCCACGACTGTTTGTGGGGACGTTGCTGTGCGCAATTGGCCGCTGCGTTTCGCCCACAAAATATGCAGTCAATTCACTTTACAGTATATTCTGTGAAGGGCTTTGAGACGTCTCGAAGAAGTGATAAGGCGCTGTATCAAATGCAAGGGTTATTATTATTATATCTCATTGACTGCGCTTTCAGCCTCCTCTTCCCTACCCCATGGCTCCCTCATATCTTGGGTTCCAGGTCAGTCTTTGTAAAGAACTCTGAGACATTCTCCCTCGATGAAAGGTGCGATATAATTGCAAATCGTTGTTGCTGCTACATTCTGTAATGTACCCCGTGCAAGGAAGGAATTTGGCTGCCTTAAAAGGTTTTACTCTTGCAACGTACAACTATCAAAGTTTCAAGACGGAGATGTCAATGCAGAATGTAGTTCATTGACAAGTCACACTGCCGAGATTGGCACCAGAGATGGAATCCAGCATCAGTTAAATACAGCTATTACTAATCAAACTTTTTAACAAGTGTAATTTATGAAGCATGATTATATCTAAACGTTACGTTCCGAATTAGTGTTGCTCATTTCTATCACACTAATTATACAGCGGAAAAAACAAGTTTAATAATGTGAATAAATTTAAATCTGTTCCCCTTTCCAAACGGTGACCTGAAATAACATGTCACCCGCCTTAAATTGCATTGAGACTAAATGAGATTTGCTTCAGTTCTCTGCTGCACTGATCAAATAAAACCAAATCTACGGAGGGTGAAATGTCCTTTTCCTACAGTTAATCAGTCTGGCTTTTCTGTTGAGACATGTTGAGCGACTCATTCTTCAAAAAAAACCCTGCATTGTGCAGCTCTGCTTGTAACTGCATGCGCTGGGCTAAAATGCAACGGGTTTATAATCAAACAAGAACATCTAATGGCAAAAACCAACAATTTGCTGTGATGATTGGTGTTACAGCTTTTAACTGTTTGCATTCATCAGGGACCTGCAACTATTTCATGGCACAGTTTGTAGAGAGAAATGCGAGGAAGAGGGGATAATATAGTTCGTATTTTTTTGAGAGGCAAAGAGTTAGGTTTAGTAGAAAGGGAAATTTGAAAGAATTGTGTAAGGAATATTAATATTTCAAACACTTTGAGATCTTATCCGACACGAAAGATGCATAAATGTGCGATTTGTCATGGTCGGATGCTAATCTTGTGCTGTTATTAACCTTTTTTCTTTAGTTAATTAGATGTTACAGGAGTTTTATGGTCAGCCGGGTGTCTGACAAATGCGGAAACCCATCACCGTGATTAAGAGTATCCAAACCAAGCTTGCCATCGAGAGCACTAGCTTTCCTGCTGCTTATCCAGCTAGGACCACCCTAACCCATTAGTGCTTTGACTTGCGAGGCAAGCGGGCTGAACACTACACTATGGGAATCCACAAGGAGGGTAGACATGAATTGATCATTAGATATTTACGTTAGCAAGTCCATGTTCGAGCTCTCCCTGAGTGGATCCCATGCACCAAAACCTCCTGATGAGCTGTACAGCGAAGAGCATAGCTCAGCAACAATATCTACATTGCAACTTGATCTTGAGTCTCTGCTCGTAGTTAGTAAGAACATAGAGGAGCGCAAGAACAAAGTGCCTTACATCCTTGAATCTATAGTGAGAAGCCAATCATCCAGGACACAGTGGCTGAAAAACAGAGGAAAAAATGGGGATAAATGATCATTCTTCTTATTAAAAAAAAATTTTTTTCTCTTCCCTGAACGTCCAGTGGCGATCGTCAGCTCAGATGGGGTTAACGTTTACCGTAGATGGGATCAAACAATTGCGTGAACAAGTTTCCTGCATTTATATAGACTCCATTATCATTATGTTCTATGTACCTGTTTGCTGGTAAAATGCGGCTTTTAAATTGCATTGGAAAAAGGAGTTAGCCATTAAAGGCTGTGCAAAAACAGAGAATGAACTGAATGATCTACAGCTGGATTTATTGTTTCTTAGAAAGTCTGCAGCTCGCACAACAAAGCACACATTGTGACTAACCCTGCAAAGAGTGTGGATCAATAACGCTGTTATTTTTAATGACTTAAAGTGTCGAATTAGGGAGGAAATTCACTTTTTGTTTGCTTTTCGTGAGAAGTGGGTTTGGTGTTTAAAGATGGAACCATCCAGAACGTGTCACAGTTTTAGCATATGTTTTGTTTCTCCCTCCCTCCTTCGCACCCCCCACCCCCCCCCCCCCCCCCGCCCCCCGCCTTGAGTTCCACACAAGCACTGTGCTATTCTGGATTCATTTCATAGAATCATAGAATCTAACAGGACAGAAGGAGGCCATTCGGCCCAAGTATGCCCGTGGAAGAGCTGCCCAATCAGTCCCGCTCCCGCGCTCTTTCTCAATATCCTTGCAATTTTTTCCTTTTCAGGTACCTATCCAATTCCCCTTTCAAAGCTGTTATCGAATCTGTTTCCCCCACCCTTTCAGGCAGTGCGTTCCAGACCATAAGAACTCTCTTTGCAAAAAGAAATTCTCATTTCCCTTCTGGTTCTTTCGACAATTATCTTGAGTCCATGTCCCCTGGCTACCGACCCACCCGCCAGTGGAAACAGTTTCTCCCAATCTATCCTATCAAAACCCCTCATCATTTTGAACACCTCAATTAAATTTCCCCTTAAGCTTCTCGGCTCTAAGGAGAAGGATTCTACAATCCCAGAACAATTTATAATAATAATTATGTTAAAATTCGTGCATTTGATATCGTGCCTTTCGGGAGGAAGCCTCAAAGCACTTCACAGGATACACTGTAAAATGTAATGACTGAGTATCTTGTCGGCGAACGCAGCAGCTAATTTGTGCTCATCAACTTCGCACAAACAGCTACAAAGTGAATGGCCAAAGGAGAGGGAGATAAAGGTGGGTGAGTTGTTGGCCAGGACAAGGGGAGAAACTTTCTTCTCTGTTCGAATAGTGCCATAGGATCTTTAACGTCCACCTAAATTTTGCCTTTTTTTAATCTTTCAATGTGGACAAGTTTCATGCAGAGCGTTGAGTATAAAACTGCATTCTCAATAGTGATTTCAATGGAGGACTCAGTGTCGGGAAGTACATTTTTATTCAGATCCAATAGAAAATCATCATGTTTTTAATAGCACCATACGACAAAATGGCTCAAATTGCCTCACGCAATGGGAGTTCATTTGAATGGTCATTGGTCTTTAGGAGTTTAGTAGAACAAAACAGGAGGAGGCCATTCAGCCCATCAAACCTACATCACCAGTTTATTAGATCTCGGCAGAACTTCTAATACACATACTTATAATAATAATAATCCTTCCAGTTGATATAGCGCCTTATCACGTCTTTGAGACGTCTCAAAACGCTTCACACGATACACTGTAAAGTGAATTGACTGTATATTTTAGAGGCAAATGCAGCAATCAATTGCTTTTTATTATTTTTTTATTACTTTCGCCATACCTCTTTATACCTTTAATACGTTTGACCTGTTAACTGTACACACCCCGACCACGGCTCAGAGTCAAGCTCCGACACTGTTAAGCGCTCAGAATCACTGCCCTTCGTGGAGGGTGCTATATAAGTATAAGTTGTTGTTGTTGTTGTTGTACACAGTCTAAGGAAGGAGCAATGCAAATGGTTGCAGTCTTTCTTATATTCTTAAATACACAACCGCATGAAGATTGAAAGAAACCACACTAGACCCAGTTAAGCTACGAGGCTCAGATCAGGAACCCCACAGCAGAGAGGAACTGAACTGATGTTGCGTTTCTCTGTTGTGTTGTAAAGTGGTATTCAGCTGCTACGCCCCGTAAACTTTGGAGCTCTCTCCCTCAATCCCTCTGCCTTGCCCCCTCTTCCCTTTTTTCAAATCACGCCTGAGGACCTTCCTCTTCGACTTTGTGCTTCCTCCCGGCGTGGCTCAGTGCCACTGTTAAGTCTCCGAGACTCGATCCAGCGTGAAGAGAGTTATATGAATGCGAGTTGATGTTGTTATTGTTGTTGTATTTCACCGAAAACTTTCAAACAACAGAGAGGTAGTGAGCTGAACTGAGGGGTTCCTCAATTCTGATGCGGGTTCAATGCACTGAACAGTTTTATACCTGGAATTGCGAGCTCTCAGCCTGATAAATTGTAAATCAACCTCAAAGCAATTTCTGTACTGCAACAGACCAGAGACAAAGGAATACCATACAACAGGATTGCTGTGAATGGATCAGTCAGCCCAAA